CAACCTCTATCGCCGACAAATAACCCCTCTGTATCTACTAATTTTATTATGCCCATTCGCTGTGTATTCTTCGATTAATTATTTAACTCCTATATAATATTAATACCGCCTAAATACTCTTCTGTTAATCCGCGCTAAATGCTCTATTAATATATAGAAGGCCTCTTAGACCTTATAGAAGGCTATGTGGTCTTGTTAGTTCTGACCGTCAGTAAGCCTCCCACTGTTGCTGGTCTGGGACACCTACTAGGACACTGACTAATCTGGGAGTTTCTATCGAGCTCAACTTCCAACTTAAACTTATATTTAAAAACTTCTTCCACAAAGCGCGTAATACATTAGCCTACCTAACTAGTTAGCAGACCTTCCTACCCAAGCAACTCCATTTCGTCAGCCAGCATGAGTAGGAAAAAAATACAAACGAGTATAAGGAAGTTCGATTTATTACGATAATTAATATATAGACTAGTAGATGAGCCAGGTGACAAGTGTTCAATTATCTTTATGAACTCCAGCTTATGTTGCTAGTGGTATTTCTTCCTTTTTAAAATCCTTAGGTGTCCGCCTGATTAGTAGAGGGTATATCTTTTCCTATACACTCGGTTACATTTGTTAGTTACTATTACACCCCAGCGACTATCAATATAACACACTACATCGATACGAGCTAGAAAGTATTTATCGTTCGTTAAGCGGTAGGCATAGTGCCGGTTTTATTAGCGCACTAATATATAAAAGTTAGCACTGTAGTGGCGGCTTAACTGATCGTATCTTCTTATAATGCGATAAGTTGCCTTATTGAAGTTTTCGATTATTCTGTCGCGCTTTAACATTATCGTAGTGATAGACAGAAACGCTTAATTTACTTACTATAGCGGAAGAGAGTTTTTACATTATCGCTCATTAACTCCATTCCTAGGTTCCTATATTTAGGACTTCTAATTCTTAATTAAAATTGCCCTAAAATCAAGTAGGTTATATAGATACCACTTTTAGGATTCAAAAGATGTTTCCCTGGCTGGCTTTTCCTCTACTACCTAGGTTGTAGGTTGGCTTTAAAAAAATACAACTTTATGGTTAATCGCAACCTGGCTATGCATAAGGAAAGTTGCTATAGTTTATTTAATAAGGCTTCCTGTTTGTTATTATAGGTGAGCCGATGGTGGCATATAAAAGGAATATTGCCGATAGGCTCGGCGCGTACGGAGGAAGGAACAGAAAGTCGTGTCTGGACTAGGGTTTAACCCCTAGCGTATTAATAAGTGGGATAACGCTACTAAATTTATATAAGGAATTCCCCTTTTTAAATTCTAGCTCTATTAGAGCCTTCTTTCTACTACTACTATTACTACTACTAATACTATTAAAATACTATTATAGATAGAGTTAATAACTAAAGCTTTTATTATAACTTTAAAAGTACTCTATTATAATAAAACTACTTTAAAAGTTATCTATTTAACTAGTATTTTAACTTGTATAGTAGACTATATTTATACTTATATTATTCACTAAAGCTTTAATCTAAATTTAATACTAATTATAATAAAAAATAAATATTTTATTAATACTCTATAAACTAACTAACCTTTAAAGTATATACATTTAAATTAAAACTTAATTATAATTAAAGTATAGTAATATAAGTATAATTAAAAGAAAGTTAGTATTATTATTATAGTTAAATTAATCTTTAAAAGTATACTTATTTTTATAAATACTATATAATTAATATTTAAAAAAACTAACTTTTAAAAAATAAAACTAATAAAGAAACCTAAACTAATAAAAAAAATAAAAAGAAATAAGTTAAAATAGTACTATAATTAAAAAAGAATACTACTAAATAGTATAACTTCTAAAACTTAAGTCTTCTTTAAAATAAAACTAAGTAACTTAATAATAAACTAGTACTAGTAAAAGTATAAGGGTTATTATTTTTATAATAAACTACTAATAGACTATTAAGTAGCCCTATGGCTACTATAAGTAGGTGTTAATATAAAGTTAAATTAAATCTCTTATAGAGGAAGAGGTAAGGAGGTTATAATAAAGTGGCTACTATACATAAGGGGGAGTCCCCCCCCCCTATTAGCCCTATGCCTTAGGCCACTAGACTATTAGTCTAGCTAGGCTATAGCCTAAGCTCTTATATAGACCTATAATTAAGATAATATATCCTTAAAAAAAGACTTATTTAGCTTTAATTATTATTAAGAAACTAGTATAGTTGGTAGCTTAAGTATTAGTAAGTATAACTTAACTTTTTAAGAAGATAGAGTACTAGATATTATAAAGGAACTAAGCTATTAAATTAATTAAGGCTTTCTTATTACTATAGTATAATAGTAGCTTATTCCTAATCTATAGTTAGTCTACTTCTTAAGTAAAGAGTTAGTTTAAATATATAAGTATATATAAGTAGTTATTATAGTATAAATTATATTAAGAGATATCTCCTAATAGTAGAGTTATTACTTAGATTAATTAGTAGAGATCTAGACTACCTAACTATAAGAATACTTCCTCCTTAAGTACCTATCTATCTCTCTACTATAACTCTAGATTAAAAGGCTTAACCTTTAATCCTTTAGATCCTATCCTTAGATTAATAGCTTAATAGCTTAAGTCCTTAATCCTAGGGATATTATATAACCTTCTATCCTTCCTAGGTGCTAGTGTGTTAAACCCTAGTTTATCTTACTTAGCCTTATATATATATTATACTATTTATAATACATAGGACTTATAAAAATTAGAAAGTAGAAAAGAGTTATTATTTTTTTTATTCTTATCCTTAAGGATAAAGGCTATTTAAATAATTAAACTAACTAGATTTTTTTAAAGTTATTCTATAAGGTTTTTTAAAACCTAAGGGAGGGGTGAAAGTTCTTAATATAGTACTTTAAATATAAAAATTAGTCTCTAAAGGACTAAAAGAAGGTTATTTAATTAAATAAAATATTTATTATTTTTCTTTATTAATAAAATAAATACTAAATTTAATAATAACCTTAAGAAGCTTTTATATATAATTATATTTAAGAGTATTAAAAGAGTACTTTTAAATTTATATTCTAAAGATCCTTTATATATAATTAAAAAAGTCTTTATTACTATTAACTACTAGAAATAGTTTAAAACTAATATTTTATTAAAGTATATATTAAAGAGTTCAATTCTAAACTAAAGTCTCTTATATAAATTACTTAAGAATTAAATATATAAATAGTCTAACTAAGACTCTATTAGAAGCCTAAAAAGTAGTTTTAAGAATAATAGAATAAAGCCTTTAAAAAACTCTTTTATAGTACTAAAAAGAGTTTTAATTAATATATATACTAAGTAAAGGTTCTTATTTTAAAGTTAATCCCTTTTAATAAAGTTTATAAAATAATAATACTTAGAATCTTTATATAAGAAAATAAAACTATAGTTTATAATTACTATATTTAACAATACATCTATAATCGTTATAATATTTAGTAACTACTATAGTCTAATAATAGTCTTAATCTAAACCCTATTAAGTCTACTTAGCCTTAAATAAAAAGAAGGACTATTAGAAGAGGTACTCTAAAGAGCTAAAAGGAGGCTATTATAGTATAGTAGGTAGTCTAAGAAGAGTTACTTTAAGAGAGAATATAGGGCTATATTAAGTGTCTAATATAAGGATAATAATTAAGCTTGAAGGTAATAAGTATAAGGAAGGTAGAGGATAACCCTTACTAATGTATATAATAATTTCCTCTTTTAATCTAGTCCTTTTTATGTCTATTAGATATAACTTTCTATTCCTTCCTCTATATACTCTTTTAAAATAAGTAGGGTTATAAAGGAAACCCTTTTTTACTTAAATAGAACTATATAAAGGTTTTTTTATACTTATAATAAACGGGCTATATAAGAGTTTAGACTATAGTCTAACTAGAGTAATAGTTTAATAGTCTAAAGTATAGACTTAATAGGAGGAACTCTCTTTTATATATAGTAGCTACTTTATAATACTATCTTTTATTTCTTCTTTCTATAAGAGATTTAATTAAATTTTATATTAATACCTACTTATAGTAGCTATAGGGCTAGTCTTTAATAAATATTAACTAAATATAATAGTACTTAATAACTTATAAAAAAGAATTAAATATAAACTTTTTATTAAAAAATCTAAAAGTAAAGACTTTAAAAAATAAAAGACTTAATTTTTAGTATTTAAATAATACTTTAATTTATATTCCTTAAGAATTATTTAAACTTCTAATATTTAATACTATTAAAAAGATACTTTTAGTAAATTTATATATTTAATAATAGTAGTTTTTTTAATAGTAGTAGTTTTTTAATAAATTTAAGTAATTTAATATTTAATAAACTAGAATTAAACTCTTAGAGAGTAAAACATTAAATCTTAAAGTAAAAGTTAAACTTCTAAAGCCTAAAAAATAATACACTATACTTATAAATCCTAGTAGGTTATTTATTAAAGTAATAAATATTAAAAATGTATATTAATAGCTTAATAAGTAACTTAATAGTATTTTTAATAAAATTCTATTATTTATATTTAAAGTTTAATTAATTATTTAGTTTCTTATATTTAACTATTATTTTTATATTATTTAAATTTTATTTAGATTATTTGTATAACCTTACAGTTAATAATTATAATTATAATAACCTACTAAGATATAAGTAGTACTAAGATGCAGGTGGTTAATATTACTTATTAGTACTCTATATAATTAAACTAACTTACTTCTTACGAAATAGACTAACTATAGATTAAGATTAAGCTACTATTATATAAAGGTAGAAAGAAAGACTATTACTTAACTAGATTATTAATTAACTAGAGTACCTTTATTTTAACCCTTTTATTATAACCTATTATCTACTCTTTTCTAATAGTCACTATTATAGGGCGCGCTAATATATTAGACATTAGACATTATACATTTCCTCGTACTCTTTATTCCAGCCCATTATCAATCATAAAGTCCTCACCCTTCTCGCACCTTTGCCAGCCCCGGCGGCGGCACCACCACCTCCGTCGGCGCAGGCACCAGCGCCGCCCTCGCCTGCGCCTGCATCTGCGCCTCCCGCGCCAGCCTCTTCCTCCGTGTGATCCCGGGGCACACGCAGCAGCAGACGATGCTCGGCACCCCGATCACGATCAGCGGCACCCCGACAACCAGGAACCAGAACAGCGGCGAGCCGAGCAGGCCAAGGTCCGAGTCCCGCGACGAGTCTGCGTGGCACCAGCGGTCCGCGGGCAGGACGGTCGCGCCGGGCGTCCACGTGGCGATCTCGGCGTCGGTGCAGGAGCCGGCGATCTCGGCGTCGGTGCAGGAGCCGGCGAGGATCGGTGGGCGCGGGCTCATGGTGCGCGTGTCGGACGCGGCCCAGGTGACGATCCACGGCGTTGCGAGGCGCTGCGTGGTGGTGGCGGCGGGGTAGAAGTCGTACCCGGAGGAGGACGTGTTGGCGGCGACGGTCTGCGCGCAGGCTTTGCCGCCGCTGCGGCTACTGGGCAGGAAGCCGCTGGTGGAGAGGGTATTAGCCGGGTGAAGAACTGGAGAACAACTGCGGATGGGGCGAGTCTTGCTTACCTAGGACAGCACCAGGCGGACGATTGGCGCGACTTTCCGCTGCCGGTGGTGGCGATCTGGAGATGGTACGCGGTCCACGCCGACGGGCACACGCCGGGGCTGAAGGTCAGTGCCAGGTCAATATCCGTGGTCCGCGTCGGCGTCTGCCCGTGGTTGCAGGCGGCCTCGTCTGGTGCCGTGTCGATGATGTACATCAAAGTGCCGCTAACCGTGGTCGTCGAGTTGAAGTTGCCCGTGCAGCTGCCGGGGACGACGAACGGCGTGGTCCTCGGCCTCGGCGGCGGTGACGACGGTGGGTCGGTGAACAACAACGGCATTCCTTTCTTCGTTTGGGCAGGGGCCTTTCCGAGACGGGCTGCTAGTTGCAGTTGTCAGTCACCTATCGGGTGCCCTACGTTGTTGCCTTTTGAGAGACTTCACTCAAGTCGAGGGACAACGCAAGCTCTTATGTGCACCAGAGGCAATGAGGCACGAGTGCCTTTTTATTCTGCTTCATGTTGCCTTGCGCGCCAGCGAGCCTAGTTGTAAATGCAAGGCCATGATTAGTGTACATGTTGCGCAAGGCTGGTCCGGCTCGACTTAGTGGCGGGCCGAAGCCGTGGCCAAGGCAGCAGGATCTGGCCTGCGATGGCTGTGATGCAGGAATTTGTTGGGGACAGCAACTAGTTTGTTGGCTAGTGTCTTGGCCTTTGGTTTTCTCGGTTGACCGCGTTGTCTTCACCTTTCGGATTGTAGGCAGGCTAATTTAAGTGCTGCGTCAGCCGCGCAACTTCGGGGCTGTGTCAACCGAGGACAGTAGATTCGTGCCTGACCACATTGTCTCGATACACAACATTATACCCACTGTTGTCGTAGTAATCCACTTGATAACGTTCGTCTCGCAGAGATTGTCGCACGATGGTTTTACAGCGATTGGACGGAATCTCAGCTCGTATTAACGACGTATTAACGCACAGCGCCTGATTGCCTGTTTAGGAAATTGAGCCCCACATAAAGCCCGACCTATTCAACCTTCCGCGTATTCAACAACACGGCAACGTAAAAGTATTGCGATGGAGATAAAAAAAGTAAAAGTTGGAATTAGGGTTCATTAGACATTCTAGTCTGCGGTTTGTTTCCTTGGGGTATTAATACGTGCCTTCGCGCTCTTTCGTTGTTGATGCAGTTTCATCACTACTCTCCTCCTCCTCGCGCTTCACGGACCACCATGCCTACCCTCGAGCTTCACAACGGCTATCCGCTCTGGAAGTACATTCCGAGTCGTCCTGCGGCCATAATCTTCATCATCCTCTTTGCGTGCGCCACTGCGTATCATCTCTTTTTACTCTCCCGGCATCGGCTCTGGTTCTGTCTGCCCTTTGTCATTGGCGGCTTCTGTAAGAGCCTCCCTTCCTCAAGGCTTCACCCACGACGGAGTCAACTGACCTCCATCTCTTTAGTCGAAGCGATCGGTTACGTTGGTCGCGCGCTGGCCTACGACCAGACGGGCGAGCTGATCCCCTACATGCTGCAGTCCATATTCCTGCTCCTCGCGCCCATCCTCTTCGCCGCCTCGCTGTACGCCACCCTCGGTCGCGTCGTCCTTGCCGTCGACGGCTCCTCACACGTGCCCGTCCTCCGCCCGCGCTGGATCACCGCCATCTTCGTCACCGGCGACGTCGTCAGCTTCATGATCCAGGGCGGCGGCGCCGGGATGCTCGTCAAGGCGGACTCGGCGGACAGCCACTCCCTCGGCCAGAACATCATCATCGGCGGGCTCGTCTTCCAGATCCTCATCTTCGGCGTCTTTGTGGCGGTGGCACTGTCGTTTCACCGCAACTTTGCGCGGGACGGCCTGGTCAACTGCTACTTGGAGGTGCAGTGGCGGGAGGTGCTGGTGATGCTGTACGGGACGTCGGGGCTGGTGATGGCGCGGAACGTGTTTCGCGTAGTCGAGTACGTGATGGGCCAGGACGGCTATCTGCTCTCCAACGAGTGGTGCGTGTACGTGTTTGACGGGGTGCTCATGTTCCTGGCCATGGTCCTCTTCGGGGCGAGGCACCCCGGCCGACTATTTCCCAAGCAGCGATCGGGCACGCCGATAGAATTGATTGAGGGTGGCGGGAGGGGCAAGGATGACGCAGGATCATCTGCTTAAGCGTACTCGTAGCCTATGTTAGACTTGCGGTTTATAATTGGCTTGCTGCTTAGAATAGAATTTCATGTACGGAGTAGCGGCCGCCGTGAGAATTGGGAGTGGAAGAATTGGGAGTGGTAGGGGACATTATGAACTGTATAATAAGGCTTCCCTGTTCTAGCTAGATGGAAGAAAGACGCGGTCTCCTAGACTCCATCTATGATCTCGCCTTATGATAAGTGATTCCGTTCCCCTAATAAAAATCATCAAGACTCACCTCACAGCCCTGATTAATGCAAAGATCAAGTTTGCCGAGCAGGCTGGCAACTGCCGAAGTGGTGGGGGTGAGTCCGCTGTCTGCCATCCATGATGTTAACAAGGCCCTGGGCATAATCCACGACTCGATACAAGCCGAGCCCGGGCCGTCGGCAACCGGCCATCTCAATGCATCCATGGCCATACATACAAGTGCCAGGCGCCCCGGGAGCAAGGCTGACCCGCCGGCATGAACGCGCCGGCCGCATCGTCAGAGAGCCTTACTCGCGGTCGTGTGGACACAGACGTATTTTGAAGCGCCCACCTGTTCATCATTAATCCCGGTTGCATAGAGCTGGGTGGCCGACATAGCTACATCTCTATGTATAAAAACAAGCGAGTCCGGCTGGTTCATGCGAGGGTCAGTGTCACACATACGTCAGGTACACGGCGTGTTCTCAGGCAAGCAACCTGCTCTTTTGTTTCCAAAGCTTGTGTGCAGAAGCAAGGCAAGTAGACTTCCATACATGTACTTAAGCCCCTGTACATCGCATTGCGCACACTTGGAAGAAAACGAGTGTGCTGCATCTATCTTCCTGTACATGAGTCTAGGCGGGCCCAACTTGCGCCGCCTTGGACTTGTCTTCTCACACTCCACCCCCCTCCTTCACCTTACTTCCTTAGATTTAGTTCATGTATGCCGCCGGCCACTGAAGCGGCGGCGGCTGCGAGCTGGGCGCGGAACGCGGCGGCCGAACGGGGCAGCTCGCGCTTCGGCTCCTCCTCCGCAGCCGGCTGCTCCGGCGCTTCCTTGCGCCTCTGCACCTCAATCAGCGCCGCCCACTCCGCCGTCGACGACCCGATCGCATGCTGCAGTTTTTCCTTGCTCGTCGAGCTTGGTGACGACCTTGAGAGCTGTGGTCTCTCCGGCCACCGGCCCTGGGACTGTTGGCGCAACTTCTCGATGGCAGCCTTCCCGCGCTCCTTCAACACGGCATCCATGGCAATGAAGGCCTTCTTTCCGGACTGCTGGAAGAGCTCGAGCTCTGCCTTGTTAATGGGAGTCGCGTCCAGCTTGCCGGTAACCTTCTCGCCGACTTTCCTGACGAGAACGGCATAGTCTTTCTTAGCGTCCTGGACCACCTTGTCGACATCGAGGTTACCGGTGTATTTTTCATTCTTAGCGATGGTCTAGACAGCGCTTTCAACGTCGGGGAACTCTTCAGTGGTGACGGCGACGCCCTTCAGTGGTTCTTTGGAGATGTACTCGATGAATTCGTTCAGGTTGCATAGTCCGTCCTTGGCTCCCTTGCAACCGGCAGCAATGAATGGGTTTTGGCTGGACATATGATCCATCTGGTAGGAGTAGTAAAAGTACACGCACTCGTAGGCATCTGGGGTAGATTACCCGGCTGCCAGGACCGCGAACCCCAAGAGGGCTAGCAGAGGCTGAAAGAGAATCATTCCTTCTATAAGCGAGTGTGATTAAACCGATCAAAGAACGAATGAGTGAATGGAGTAATGAGTGCAGATTGTGTGTGATCTCTAGATGGAAGAGGGCGACAGGAGCCACGTATATATACGTACTTTTCTAAGTCTTTAACAGATTCGCTAACTTATACCATAACAACGGAGTCATGCGGCTATGCTTGCCCAATTGCCGTTGTTGTTGAGTTGTCAACATTACGCAACTCCTCCAGTTCCCGCCGGAGTGGTTCCTCTTGTCGCCCGGCTTTAACGACCAACAGAGCTAAATCAGCATAAAGCCTTCGCATCTTGGCACTTTGGAGCTTGTTACCGCTCCTCTAACTATTAACCCTACAGACGTGTCTATTCGCGCCTCCGACATGAACCTAGTGACGTGACTCCCGCATTGAATACGAAACTGTCAAGCGAGTAACAGCTTGTCATGTATTTACCTTTAAGCCAAACGTATAGGCGACGCCGCAGTTGCTTCTAGGCCGAACTCCTTTCTAGCACTTAACGCGCCATAACACCTCTGAAATAATGCTAGTTAATATCCTCCACCTTGCCTTACCGGTAAATCAACATCTACCGACGAAAGGCCACAACCACAACCACTCCACTTACAACAAGTCAACCCTGCCAAGCGGCAATTAATCCTTTGCTTCTAAGACAAGAATTGGCATAGGTGCATGCTGAATTAATATTGCGAGCCAATGTGAATCAGGGCGGTGCTCGAGTCAAGTTCGACAACTGAAATCCGACCTGCGCAGAGTATAAGATGAATGACATGCCTCCCAAAAACGCCATCACGACCACATCCCAACCGATCACTCATTCAGCGGCCAGGCCTCTCATTCCTTCCCATCGTTGAATGGCTTGCCGTCTTCGCAAAGCAGCTTATCAAAGCCACCACCCATACACACACGTCAACCGCAAACATGGTCCGCATCGCTGCCGCCGCCGTCCTGGCTTGTACGTATACCCGTCGGTGAACCCGGTACCACGACTCTGGCTAACAAGATCAAGTTGCCGTCTCTGCCATGGCCCTCTCGGGCGATGCTGCCGCCGCCCTGAGCCCGCGCGACGACGCCCCGGCCGGCGGCGAGACCCGCAAGGAGTCCACCCCGGAGGACATCCGGAAGTGGATGGAAACCATCGCCGAGGCCGCCGAGGAACTGCGCAAGATGGCCCTGGAGCACGCCAAGGGGACTGGCGGCGAGTCCGCCTAAACGAGTCAAGTTGAAAATGGGGCCTGCGTGGCGACCGCTAGACAATACTCCTGTGTAGCCACGGTTAGATATATGAACAAGTAGATCATCCCGCACAAGTTGAAAGAACTGTACCGTGATAGTTTTCTCGTGAATCTGTGCAATGTCATGCTCAACTCCCAATAACAGACCGCGGCCACTCCAGCCAATGCGACCACTCGTCGCCCAGGAACTCCGCCGCGGAGGCCAGCACGAACGCGCCGGCGTCGCCAATCTGCCACATGTGCCGCCCGTGGTGCAGCAGCGCCGCGTACCAGGCCATGATCGCCGCCGCCTCCGGCCTGTGCCGCGCCAGCAGCTCCACGAACTCCTCCGGCAGGTAGATCTTCCAGCTGTACAGGATCTGGTAGCAGTTGCGGTCCGGCGTCGGGCTGGCCAGGTCGTCGAAGCCCAGTTGCAGATGGTGCGCCGCCGCGCGGCACGACTCGCGCTCCACGGGATCCAGACCCGGCGTGATGGCGATGAGCCGCAGCAGCTGGTCGCACTCGCCGCCGCGCGTCTTGGCATCCTGGCCGTGGCCGCGGCCCGCGCCCCAGCGCATGAACGGCGCGAGTTCGGAGGCGAGCAGGCTCGCCCACGAGACGCCCGTGACCACGGCGCGCGTGCCCTGCTGCAGCTGGGCGCACTGCACGAAGGCGTCCAGGAACGCGCCGAAACCCCCGGGTCCGCCGTCACCCTGCAGGACGCGCAGCGTGTCCACCAGCGAGTGCCGGGTCAGCAGCGCCGAGAAGAGCACCGCCGGCATCCCGCCGCCGCCGGTGACGGACTCTGCGGCGGCGGCGCTGAAGCCCTCGATGGCTCGCGTCTGGAACTTGATGGCCTGGCCGTAGTAGAAGGAAAACTCGGAGGGGTGCAGGTGCGCGAGGTGCCGCGCGGACAGGGCGAGGACCTGGTGTAGTAGGTACGGCGTCTCCAGGGCCTCGCGCAGCACGAGCGCGGTGCCCTCCGCGGCGAGGTGGGCGGGGAGCTCCGGGACGGCGGTGGCGAGGGAGAAGTGCAGCAGGAGACGCATGTGGTGGACGTTGACGGGGGCGTCCGGATCCGATGCCAGGCCGCGTCCGGGCGATGCTGCTCGCGAGGAGGCGGTCGTGTGCGCCGGCGTGGGGGCTAACCCGGCAGCCGCCGCGTCTCTGGCGGTGGTCGTCGGGGCGTTCTCTAGACAAGGCGTATCTGCGTGGAGCGTGTCCGACACGGCGGATCTCCGGGCCGCGTCCCGTTGCTGCTGTGCCTGGCTGGGCTGGCGGCGTCGTATTGCCGCGTATTCACAGGTGCGCTCGACCACGAGGCAGTTTGCGCACTGCGGCTTCGTTTCGTCGCACTACGGCCGGGTTAGTGATGGGTGCGACTGTCGTTTCCAGAAGAAATAAGTACTTTTATGTGCCGTCTCTTACACTCAGTGCAGCCACCTCTGGATTTCTTGTGTGCTTTCCGCGCCATGCTTGTAGGAGAGAAAATACGAATCCGCGGAAGAGGGATTCGCGCTAAGGAAAGCCATAACTTACCGACAACTAGACACGCGTCGCGACGAGACTCTTGTGCCATGGGCGCTTAATAAGGCCACACTACATCTCTCTATCCCGGAACATGTCAATTGAATTTTTAATTTTTGACAAGACTTTTTTCGAGGCAAGATTCTCCAGCTGCGGCCAGTGCTGAAGGGCTGTTACCCTGCAGTAGACAAGAATACGGGAGAGCGCTCTGTCACACTCCGCATCCAGTCAGGAATTCTATTTTTATCATATTCTGTTCCTCTTGAGAGAAAAAAGACAATCGCAAAAATGATTCTGAATTTTGCAATCTTTTAATCATTGAGTCTAGGAATAACTGTTCCACCAACACGTCTTTGAAACGGTCTGACGGTAATATAGTGGGCCGCTTTGTACCGATTATAGCGCCGATTTCATTTGCGGTGAGGCCCAGTTCTGGGGAAACCTATTCATCCTCCAGCTGGGCATCAACATCTCACTCCCCGGATCCTTGTCCGTCTCAGAAAGCTCCGAGGGGTATTCACTTCATCTCCAACCACCCAATCGATGATTTCTGCACTCTTTCAACAAGAACGCAGCGCACCTCATGACAACCTGAAACCGCCCCTTCCGCGCGCACCAGACGTGCAACCGAGCCTCGGCCTCTTTCACTGCATCTCTACAAACAGCTCCAAGCAATCCAAACCTACACACTGTCTGAATCCCTTCCATACGCCAGATCGCCACCATGACGCAGGCCCTCCAGCGCGGCGACATTGAAGAGTACGTCGCCGCCTTCCGCGACCAGATCCCCTCCCATGACGGCAGCATCCCGGGCCGTCCGGGCGTCAAGTCGACGTTCCTCCCCGCCGACGCCGCCGCGAACCAGGACCTGTCGCGGGCCGTCCACCTCGCGCGCCGCGGTGACCTCACCCCCGCGCGCGCCCTCGCCGCGCCCCACGCCTACGCCCTGATCGAGTACCAGGACGTCGGCCAGGGCCGCGCCCGCGACTACCTCATCCTGCGCGAGCAGCCCGACGCGGCCGCCGCCGACGGTGGCCTCTGCCGGCGCAATTGGGGCATGTACGTCTTCGCCAAGGTCGGCCCGCGTGGGGGCCCCTCCTACGGCACGCCGCTGTCCATCCACGTGCCCCATCCGTTGTTCGACATGAACACGCCCGAGCTGGGCGTCCGCGCCTTCGTCGAGACCAACGCCGACTCCTTCTTCATCGCCGGCGCCCACCGGCACAACACCGCCGCCGCCCGCGCGCCGGCCACCTGGGCCGATGCCGCCTCCTCCGACATGGCGCACAACGAGCACAGCCTCTTCCTGCGCCTCGCCGAGGAGGTCACCCGGCCGGCCGCGTTCCGCCGCTTCCGCGGCGGGCCCCCGCGCACCGCCACGGTCGTCCAGATCCACGGCTTCGGCAACAGCGACATGGAGGACGGCCGGTGGACGTACAACGCGAAGCGCGCGTACCCACAGATCGTCCTGAGCAACGGCGACGCCGCGCTGCAGGGGCGGCGCGTCGCGATGCTCGACCGGCTCTCGCTGGAGTTTTGGAAGCTCGCGCCGACGGGCGCCGGCGGGCAGCAGCGGATGACGACGGGCGTGTACAACGGGTGGGAGTTTGGCGATCTTGCCGCGACGGGCAACGTCGTCGGGCGGCGCCTCCGCGCGAGGGGCGACGGCGCGGCGTTTATCCACGTAGAGACGGATCCGTCCATACGCGTGACCAAAGGCTGGGCGAGCGTGCGGCATCTGGACGTGCAGGCGGAGCGGGCGGAAAAGTATCGCCGGTTCGGTCGCACGCTGCGGCTGGTCCTGGCAGAGGAGGGGCCGGCACAATTTATTGTACAAAAACTGTAAATCCATCAAGATTTTCAGATAAATAGCCATGCAGTATCTGAGCCAAGCTCCCATGGCCTACACTGTGCTGCAGATGTTCTGTTGAGATGGAATGATTTGGAGCGCCTCCATTGAGCCACGGAAATGGATCCACGCCGCAACCATGACTGCTAGGTGAAGAATCTGCTGACTTGCGCCAAAATCGCCAAAGGCATAAGGAACCCATCTTTCGGGAATCTTGTCCGGTCAGCAGTGAGCGGCATCACTTGGTGGTGTTTATTGGGACCTATTCGTGCAGCATAGACGACCGCGCCTACTACATTCGCTGCGGCCATCCATCCCATTCACGCAGGCGACATGCGCACCTTTTGCGCTTGCCACCCGTAGAGAAACAGGCCGTGCATCACGAAGACGATGGAGCCGAGGTCGAAGCCGGCGTAGAAGCCGGCACTCCACCTAACGGAACTACGGCGTGACGAGGCTCGGTGTGAAGGTGAAGACGGCACAGCAGAGCGCCGAGCTGCTCGCCTTGTGATGTAAGTTAGCATCCTCATAAGATGGTGTAAAGCATCAGCCTCGAACCATTGCCCAGTAGAAGATTTGCAGCCACAGCTCGCATACGAAGTCGTAGTAGATGGTCGGGACTGCGGCTCCCCACATGAGCACTTTAATGCCCATGTAGTCCAGCTTGTTACAGAGGCGCGAGACATCATGGCTGTGGTTCCAGAGTAGATGGAAACTGAAACTATCAAGTTAACAGATGCGGCCCAGATGGAAGGGAGATTGAAGCACACGACGGAGAGGAGGAAGCACGTGGAAACGGCGTGGCAATAAATCGACACCACTATCATGTCCTGGCCTCGTGCCTCGAGCTGCACGTGGCGGTAGACATACACTGAAAGCGCAGCAAATACAAATGCCCCAATGATATGAGAGTATGTCAGACGCTTTGGTTGTTTAGGTACCGCAACGACGCCAGCGAGGTGGCGACCGAGCTGGACGTCGGCCTGTAAGTGTTCCGGGATAAGCAAGTACAGGACAGGGGCCTCAACGTGCCATGTACGCATTTATACCCGGAGAGTACTCATTATCTCTCTACCACGTCGGGATTTCGTGAAAGAACAAGAGACGGACAGCTTTGCTTGTTGACGAGGCGTCCATCGATGAGGCCGCTTTAGCCGGCCGGCGGGCGTCGAGGAAAGGTTTGGCTGTGGGGTCAAAAGGCGACTTTTACAAGGCTACTTTTTTCTTGAGATTGAGAGGTGAATCAAAAGCTTCAATACAGAAGCAACGAGGCAACGAGGCACATTCCAAAATGCCATTTGCGACGAGGCCGGGCAAAGGGGCGTTTGTTGGCCCGATCCGACACTCACTGCCCAACACTGCATGCAGTGTGATGATGCGCCCTGGTGGAGTTACGCAGGACCCCTGCGTCTTCAGCTGTATGTCTTGCTTCTTCCGTCATCAGATTTCAGGGACCTCTTCATAGGGTTCTCTATTGGAGGACAAGAAGATCACGCCATTGGCGTTGAAGAAACACTAGAGCAGGTCTGTCGGTGGGATGGTGGATGCAGACGGTGCTGGCAAACTGACAGAATCATGAGCCCGGTGGCATGGAACATGTATAAGCCATTCGTATTTACTCGCTAAAACTTTAAAAGTGAGTATTTGGACGATGCTGATCCCGCGCGTTGGGGCAGTACTGAGTCTCGTTGTCGCCACCAACTGACGATGCAGCCACGCGCAGGAGGCCTGACAAGTTGGCCACCAGGCCTGCGCATAGGTTGAGATTTGTCGAGTGCTGACTGCCCATGTCTGTCCTGCAATCCTTGCAGGTTTAACGTGGTGCAGCTTCTGGCCCTCTCATCCTCGGAAGCAAATCTGGGTGCAGGTTAGCATCGTCCGGGTAAAGCAGTCGCACACTCCGTCGCGGTGCTTTAAGTTGGAGCTAATCTGCCATAGACATGGCATTCGAGGCAAATAAGGACATTGCTTTCGATGGGAGAAGGACAGTAGCGGTGGTGTTTGGGCGCGAAACCGAATGCAAACAGGGGGACTCGGCGACTGCTGCGTGTAACTCAAAGTGTCACCCGCCGAGATCAAGTCTCACTCCTCCGTATTCCATCGCGACGCTCTTTGCATGTGATTGCCGAGAAAGAACCACTTCAAGCCCATCGTGCGACCTTGGCATCCCGTTACATTGACAAGAGCCGATCCGATGCTTAGCTTGCAATGCCACCCGACATCCAGAAGGTGACCAATACCCGTTCGATGCGAGTCAACCTGTCGGCGTCTAGCAATCGGTATCTTCTCAGGCCATTTTTCGCGTCGGGTCTGCAAGGGGAATACGCATTCTGCATTCAACATGGATGAAAGCTTCGCTCCGCCGCACTTTTCAAGCCTCATGCATCCCTACGCGTCTGTGTAACACGGTCGCGCCACGGAGAGACCTGATACACGCCCCAACTACCGGACTTGGCTGGGTCCTCTGCATCAGGCAGACTCTTCCGCGCAGGAGATCCAAATGCCCAGTCCATCCAGTAGAGTTGGGCGGCGGACAGGCCGTATCCTATCAACCTTGATATGCGCAAGCGGGCGGGGTAAAGGCTTCGCGACGACACAGACCTGCGCAGAGCATAGGAGCACAAGATGCAGGTGCTACGCCCGAGGCGGTCGAGGTGGCGTTTGGTTGGCCGTGCTCTGTGGTTTGGGCATGCGGTGACACCACCAACGCGAATGATACGTGTACGTGCGTGAATGGGAGGCGAGGAGGCGGGTGAGCTGGTGACGTCTTCTGCAGTGGTTGCAGCCGTTAGCCCGTTACACAGGCATCTCTCGGCAGTACCTTATTTGCTACTTTGTGCCGCCCATGGAAAATATTTAACCAGAGGGTATCTGGCAGGGCAGTCGCCGAGTATATGACAGCTGCCAAGCATCTTGCCTATTCCATCAGCCCTTCCTTCAACGTCTCGCGCAAGTCTCCGGCAAGATGAGCGACTTTGAGCCTAAACAAGGTCTGTATACCAAGAACACTGTGTTTCGACGGGCGGCAACGCTGACGTCCTCGCTAGTCGACCGCTCCTCTATATTTGAGATTGTGCCCATGTACGACGCGCAGAGGCTCCGACCCGAGGCTTTAAAACTCCTTGAACTCCTTGCCTTTCTTGGCACCGGCCTGCCCGAGGACCTCGTCAAGGCCCTGGCCCTCGAGCTGCTGCCTGCTGACAACGACGACTTGGACACGACCTACGACTCGGCGGCGTACGTCGCGGGGCGCGACGTGCTGGCCATGGAGCCGCTCATCGTGCTCGAGGGCCCCAGGCGGCGGCTCGTACTCTTAGACGCTCTGCAGGACCAGGTAATTGCGACGCTAAGCGATTCGAAGCGGCACCACTTCTTCGTGGGTGTCACAAGGAGGATCTGGGCGAGGTGGCCGGCAGGGCTGCCAGCGCCGACGCAGCGCGGGGTGCTGCCGGAGCCTGGGAGGTGGACGCAGCAGCAGGGGCTGCTCGTGAGTCGGTGGCCGGCGTGTGAAGATTTGGAGCACACCCTTGCGAGGCTGGAGGGTCTGTACCCAGTCCTTGGGACCTTGCTGTCGGATGAAGAGAGCTTGCTCTGCGCCAAGCTGATGACAGAAAGAGCATGGTAAGAGTACTAAAACCGAGTAAAGAAGAGTGCCTCCATGCTGAGAAGTGACTTTAGGTACCAGATTGAACGCGGCTTCCGATCGAAAATTTTGCCGACCCTCATCACTGCCATGGAGATTGGGCTCAAGACCGAGCACCCCGACCAGCAGGCCTTTATTGCCGACGTACACTTCTGCCTCGGCGTGGTTGCCATGGAGTCCAACGACTTTGCTGTCAGCCGCATCAACAAGGAGAAATTTTTCGATGCCGTCTCCCAGGTCTGCACCGCCCTCGGCGTCGAAGATGAGCGGCTCGCGGTGGCCTACGCGGAGCGCGGCATCTCGCGCGTGCAGGATGCGCAATACGACGAGGCAGTAGCGGACCTTGGCGCGTCAATCCGCATTATGCGACGGCTGCGCGGAGGCGCGTATGTACCGCAAGTGGCGGAGGCGAACATGGCGTGGGCACTGATTGCGAAAAACCAACTTGAAGAGGCTGGCGCGCTGCTGGCGGAGAGCTTGGAGGCGAGACGAGAGCGGCTCGGCGAGCACGACGTGGAGGGTACGGCGACCGGGCAGCTCCTTGCGGCGATGGCAGCGCTGCGGGCCGTGCAAGGCGATTTGGACGGCAGCCATGCACTTCACCAGCAGGCGTGGGAGCACCTCCGGAAGGTGGTCGGTACGCGCGACCCGTGCACCGCGCGGGTTACGCACCAGCTCGCCGAGCACCTCTTGAGCCAGAGGCAAACAGAGGAGGCTTTGTAAGTACACACTAGTAGGTAGCTGTGATGCGTGGATGTTGCTGACTCTGTGTATTCTGTAGGACCTTGATCAACGACGCGCTCAACGTTTGGAGCCTCGACCCGCTCGCGAACCAGAACGAGGAGGCGCGGACAGTGTATCTGAAGTGTCGGGCGATGGCGGCGCTGGGAAGGTCGGAAACTGCAATGAGGTTGCGTGACAAGGCGATAATGCTGTATAATGCAATCACAACGGAGAGCAAGGATGCGAACACCATACGTGTGGCGGACTTTGATGCCCTCGTGCCGTTTTGGTCTCGGTAGGTTGGTTCATGGAAAGGGCGGTGGTCTCAGCGAGAGAAGCGCCGTATGCATTTCTTGTTTGTAGGTGTTGGCTTTGTCGACTGGAATCCAGATGGAGGTAACACGTAGTCAGCAAAGAGTCTCAGTCGACACAGGGTCATCGTTGCGAGCTAAAACAAAGCACTCCGTCTAAAGTCTCGTACTGTGTGAGTCTTGCCGTCGTGGAGTCGTTATCTTTTCTCTTGCGTTTTTTGACCGTCATAAATGGCACTTCATTTGACCGGCATTATTTGCTATTGCCGAGCGACAGTTCTCAAAATGTCTATGGCAAGCCCATAGGACTCCTCTCTCGCGCGCGCGCAGTCTTGATTCGTCACCTTCTTGTCAAAGTTGTGACCGACGCGCTTCATCCTCTTCACCACCACACTCCGACCCGTCCCCATGGCCTTTGCAGCAAGTGCCTCCGCCTCGAGCGCAGACGTGTCCATCTCTGCGGTGATGACGAGCATGTGCGCCGGGTAGGGGGTTGTTCCGGCGGCATTGATTGGGGAGATGCGCAGGTCTCGAGGATCCGCGTCGCCAAAGTACGCTTCGCGAAAGATCCGCGTCCAGAACGCGGGTAGACGCTTTCCCCCGGACACGGGCGCGACTCTTGTGCTCGGGTCCTCCGCGGCGTTGGTGGAGGGGTAGAATGTGATGACGGATCGAAACGTGTCTTTCGGGAACAGTCCGAGCATTGCGAGGGCACAGGTGCCGCCCGAGGAGAAGCCGGAGATGGAGACGTGAGAGGTTTTGTACTCGGCAGCGTGGTCCAAGACGTAACAGATGGCGTCCTCCGCATCATGGATGGCGGCTGGGAATGGATGCTCTGGCGCCAGGCGATAGTCGACATCTAGCACTACGTAGCCGGCCGACGAGGCGACGCGGCGACAGTAGAGGTCGTCGGCGCCGTGTAGAGGAAGCACGAAGCCTCCGCCAAAAATGTTGACGAGGACGGGAGCTGGCGAGTTTGGGACGCCGCCCGGCTGATAGACGTGGACTTTGATGGCGCGGCCGGGGTCGCGTGAAGGGATGGCTAGAATCGCGTCTGGGCTGCTCCTGGGTGGCGGCTCAACGAGCCTGGCTAGGGCGCGGAAAAGGGCGATGAGGAGCTTCAAGCGCCAGTATCTTAATATCGAAAATATGTTCAGCATGGTGAAGCGAAGGCGGATGATGAAAGAGTGATTCGCCGAGATGGTGAAGTTTCTGAGTTGAGCCGGTGCTAGCGATTTTCAGTAGTTACTACCTGCCGCCTGGACACGCCCCTAACTGACGATGTAGCAAGGCAGCAGCAAGAGACATGAGATCGCCCAGACCAATTTGTACTACTACTAATTTTGACTTTGAAAATACGGAATGTTTTACCATTCAGTATTTTCTATATGACGCGGTATCGATATTCGGCATGATACGCAGCACTGGCGCCGCCACACCGCGGCGAGAGGGAGATGGAGACCGATGACGAGGGTGGCGACGAGGCGCGGTTGCTGTCCGAAGAGACTTAGAAGCATGAATAGAGCTCTTAAGGGATGAAAAGTTTTGTTAGTCAGTATTCTAGCTCGAAATGGGCGCGGAAAATGCATGATGGATCTGGTTCTCTGGGCGAGTTGAATTACATGGAACGATATGCACTTGAACCCCAAATTAGCCCTTTTATGGGAAACACTGAAACTCTTTCCTCCACCCAGTACTTTCTCTTCTTCCATCGCTTTTATCAGTTTCAGATTGTTTTTTTTTTTTTTCAGAATCTCCGTACTACTTTTACGGCTCATGTCGGTCATGGCTCGGAGTTGATGTGGCCAACTGCGTGCCCATCAAGGTTGCGCCCATCTCTGTGCCTACTTAAACCACCCACGCACCTCTCCAACTTTACCAAGACACTAACCACACATTTACCACATCACCCCAGTGCGAGAGAGGGGCCGTCATTTAAGAAATTACTTTTCTTTTCATCAATTATTCATCGAAGCTGCATACATGTTGTGAGCCTTAAAGCTCGGCCTTTTCCTACAACTTCTTCATGTCAACGACGGCACGGATGCAGTCGCCGTCCTTCATGGTCTCGAACGCGTTGTTCATCTCGCCCAGAGTCTTGCGGTGGGTGATGAACTCGTCGACCTTGAGCTTGCCGTCGAGGTAGTCGCTGACGAGGCCGCCCATCTGGGAGCGGCCCTTGATGCCGCCAAACGCGCATCCCTTCCACACGCGACCGGTAACGAGCTGGAATGCTGCAAGTACGTCAGTTTGCTAATTCAAACGCCTTCTCCGACGGTGGTTAACTCACGTCGGGTGGAAATCTCCTGGCCGGCAGCCGCCACGCCGATGATGATGCTCTCGCCCCAGCCCTTGTGGCAGGCCTCGAGCGCGGCGCGCATCACGCTCACGTTGCCCGTGCAGTCAAACGTGTAGTCGCAGCCGCCGTCCGTCATCTCGATCAGCTTGTCAACGATGGTCTGGCCCTTGGGCAGGTCGTTGGGGTTGACAAAGTGGGTGGCGCCAAACTTGGTGGCCCACGCCTCCTTGCTCGGGTTGACGTCGACGACGATGATCTTGCTGGCCTTGTTGATGACGGCGCCCTGCACGACCGAGAGGCCGACGCATCCGGCGCCGAAGACAGCGATGTTGGAGCCCTCCTCCACGTTGGCGGTCACGCGCGCCGCGCCGTAGCCGGTCGTGATGCCGCACCCCAGCAGGCACGTGCGGTCCATGGGGGCGTCGGGCTGCACGGCGACGACGGAGATGTCGGCGACGACGGTGTACTGCGAAAAGGTCGACGTGCCCATGAAGTGCAGCACGTCCTTGCCCTTGCACCGGAAGCGGCTGGTGCCGTCGGGCATGACGCCCTTACCCTGGGTGGCGCGAATCTTGCCGCAGAGATTGGTCTTGCCGGACTTGCAGAACTTGCACTCTTTGCATTCGGGGGTGCTGCAGGAGGGGGGGAAGGAGAGCATGCGTTAGACGCGAAATGCTTCACAGATTGGAGGGAGGGAGGGGGCTTCTCACTAGAGGCAAACGACGGTGTCGCCGGGCTTCACGTTGGTGACGCCCTCACCGACGGACTCGACGATGCCGGCACCCTCGTGTCCGAGGACAATGGGGAAGGCACCCTCAGGATCCTTGCCGGAGAGCGTGTACGCATCTGTGATAATTACGGGATGAGCTTCCATCTCGTGGCGCGGTGTCGAATGCTGCGCGTACCTGTGTGGCAAACACCAGTGTAGTGAATCTGAACACGGACCTCGTGGGCCTTGGGGGGAGCGACATCGACGTCCTCAATGGTGAGCTCCTTGCCAGCCTCCCAGGCGACGGCAGCTTTGCAGGTGATGGTCTATTTGTCGCGGAGGTTAGCGATGGTTCGTTTTGTCCGGCTTGTTCTCGCGGGTGGTGGGTAAGTGGCAGCTTCATGCTGCCGGCCGGCCAAATGGAGGGGTAATTTATGCGCGATGAGGGGCAAGGAAGGCCAAGCTTTACCTTTCCTACGGTAGACGCCATGGTATCTGTGGAATGAACAAATGATGTCAATTCAGAGGTCAAGAATGTGTGTGAAGAGAGATGGAAAGGAGATGAAGGCTCGATTCTGTAAAGACCAGGGTTAAAAACAAAGTTGGGGGAGCTGCCCAGGAAATCGAGCTATGTCATGGCGGCGTTAAAGCCCGAGGCCGGCCGCTACGCCGCCCGCCAAAAACGGTTTGACTGGTGCGAGCTCGAGGGAACCCCGCTGCGGAGCTGGATGCGGCGCTCCCACTTCTTTCAGAGTTGTACTGGTAAACCAATTTGCGAATGTGTGAGAGGAGATGCCGAATAGCGAGAGATGGCCGATGGAGGCGGCGATGAGATGGCGTTTAAGTTTGAGCATTGTGTCTGTGGTTTATTACAGTGAATCCGGCTTCGTGATGCTCAGATCGAGACCCCGTCACGGCTCGAGTGATTTTTGTAACTTTACCTCACAAATCAGCATAGGAGTCCATAGATAAATCTACTTGACACAATAATCCAATTTATGTCTTTTCTTTCACAGCTGCTTTAACAATTTCTTCCCGTGCAACTGCAACACAAACCGATCACCTGATCGCCCGGCCCCCCGCGCCTCCGCCGGCGCCGACCAATGCCTACGGGCCTAGGCCCTTGTCACTTCCAACGTCCCGCCAAAACCAGACCTCGCCGAAAGAGTCATGCTTTCAAATCAAGACAAAATCTCTAAAATATCCGATTCTTGGCATCTGTGTACCGGCATCTTCAAAATGGCTGCCTGAAAAAGGCAGCTACATCATCGTACCCGTTTTGCTGAGCTGCAAAGCTCACGCGCCACATATAGCACCAGCCACAGCGCCTTGCACAGCCCCACCTGCGTTGACGACAAGCTTCCAGCCCCGCCATGGGGTGAAGCTTGCATACGACATCACCAAGTCCATCTCAGACCAGCTCATCCCAGCCCGATATCCTCGCCCTCGTCGCGCTGCACCAGAGAGCCTCATCCACCATGCCTGTATGCAGCAGCCTTCCACCCATCCTCCCACTCGCCATCCCCAATTTCCCCAATCCGATCTTCCCCCCACACATTCCCTGACTGACGTCGCCTCTCCTCAGGCCTACAACTCCGTCTTCAACTCGGAGCCCGACCCGCGCCTCATCGGCAACTTCCCGCTGCTGCCCCTGCGCACCAAGGTCCGCGGCCCGGCCTACACGCTGCCGCCCGCCGACCCGCCGCTGCCCGCTCACGAGTCGCCCGACCCGGACTCGCCCTCGTACGACGTGCTCGACGAGGTGCTCGCGCTCTTCCGCGCCAACACCTTCTTCCGCAACTTTGAGATCCAGGGCCCCGCCGACCGCCTGCTCATCTACGGCATCTGGTTCCTCAGCGACTGCCTGACCAAGATCAAGCCCAACGCCACGGCGCGCGACGCCCAGAAGGAGGTGATGAACCTGGCGCTGGACCTGCACTTTGCGCTGCCGGGCGACCCGGCGTGGCCCCTGAACCAGGTACGTTTTTTTTTTCTTAACTGGATTGGAGTGAACTCGGTTCTCGGCTAACGGAGACGGCGATAGATGTATGAACCCCCTCGCGATCGACAAGACGCGGAGCAGCTACGTCAGTACATGGCGCAGATCCGTCAGGAGCTCGCGGCGCGCATACTGGCGCGCGTCTACGAGGAGGACGACGCAAAGCCCAGTAAGTGGTGGCTGAGCTTTACGAAGAGAAAGTTTATGGGCAAGGCGCTGTGAAGACAAACGGAAACCAGGACAATAGACGATACTCTGCTGTATAACGTCAATATAGCAAAACTTGTTTTTCCACCAAATGATAACTTGTATTCACTCTTCTTATAAAGGTGATCTTGTATTGGTTCGTGAATTTTGAATGCTGGTGCATATCTCTATTTAATACGCCACTGCACTGCAAGGGTATCTCACTATTTTCCGAGAACGCCCCCCATGCCTACCGGCGCTTCTGAAACTTTCCGCGCGCGGATATCCGCCCCTCCGCCGGAATCGCCCTCCACCCTGTCAGCAAGTACCCCTCCGCGCCACCCTTGCCCATCATGAGCGGGTGCGTGCGGCCGGGGAGGACCTGCCAGCGCTTAGCCCTCGTCGTCTGCACCGACACACCGACCAGCAGGGTCGGGTTGATGGGAAACTCGGGGGACCCCGGCCAGGCGTCGAGCTCCGCCTGCGAGCGGCCCTCGACCTCCGGCGGGGGGGCAGCGACCCACGCGCCGCGACGCCCAATGCTAAAGCAGTCGGCCAGCTGCGTCAGCGGCTCCACGGTCGGCGAGTAGACGGCAAGTGGGCTGCCGCCCGCGAGCAGCGGCAGCGCGTGGCGGAGCACCGACACGGGATCCATGGTGCTGGCGACGGCGAGCCCCGCGAAGCCGCCGGCGCGCGTGCCATCGACGATCTGCTGCGCGCGCGCCCACCGCCGCCGCTTGCGGTGGTAGTTGCCCCGCCGGTTCGTCTTCCACGACTGCAGCTCCTCGAGCGTCACCTCAGCGGGCCGCTCCGCGTACGTCGGGTCGTCGGACGGCGACAGCACCTGCAGCCAGCTGACGGGCAGCAGATGCGTGGCGAGCGGGTGGTGCGCCTCCTGCGGGTTCGGGTCGCTAGCGTCGAAGTCAAAGTAGCGCAGCAACGACAGGTTGGGCTGCGAGTTGGCGTGTATGAGCGTGATGGTGTTCGTGAGCGCGTAGTGTGGTGCGAGATCGTCCTTATGCGGCCGCTTGCGTGACGCGCGCGTCGTCGAGATGGCGTCGCCGCTGCCGTTGGCATTCTCAGTGGCAGCAGGGTCTTGTGTGGGTATTTGCTCCGTCTGGTCGTCAGTACTGTCCGTCTGATCTTCATCGCGGTATAATATGCCCATCCTCTCAGCCATAGCGGCCACTAAAAGACCACCCGTGTCGTCCACCGCTAGCCATCGACCCCCGTGCGGCGTCGTCGCGCCCTCGAGAGGCATGCCGCCAAAGTGCACGTCGGCCCAGCAGCCGATCAGCGCCAGCGCCTCCTGCCGCAGCTCCAAAATCTTGCTCGCGTCCTTGTCCTCAAGCATCCACTGCGCCAGCATGGGCACGTCAAGCGGCAGGACGGTGAAGCGGCGCACGTACTTTTTTTCCTTAAGCAGCTTGTACTTGGCCAGCGAGTATGCCGTCTTCTGGTCGATGGCGGTGTGGCGCAGCAGCAACTTGGCGACGATCTCGCGACCGGCGCCGGCACCCTTGCGCTTCAACTCCTCGATCTCTTCCGTTGTTAGCGTCTGCCGCGCCTGCTCGTCAAACGTCTTGCGCGTGATGACGGCGACGGCGCCGTTGCCGTTGCTGCCCTCGGCGGTGGTGGCGACGGCGGCGGCGTCCTCGTCGGCGAGCGCGAGCTCCTCACCCACGGCCGCCGCAATCATGGCCTCACTATCTACTACTTCGCCATTGCCGCTGCCGCTGTTGTCCTGGTTTGCGGGTTCCGTCTCGGGGGTCGCGGTCGTCGTTTCGTCTTCGGCCGTTGTGTCGACCAGGGCGTCCGCATTGAGCTCCGTGCCGGGGACCACGCGCAGCCGCGAAAAGTTCTCGTCATCGCGCTTGTCCTGGATTTCGTATGTGAGGTGATACGGGCGTTCGATAAGCAGATTGCTGGGGAAGGAACCGTATTTACCCAAGCTCACGGTTCTGGCCAACAGAGAGTCAGTGACCAAAGCTCGTCACAGCGGGGGGCAGAGGCGCGACATCTTACGTGCTGGGTGTTATTTGTAAAATTCTGGCGTTTCCATTAGGAAGTTTTAATGCCACCCAGGCGTTGGGCTGCACCGTATTTCGCGGCATGACTGTTGTATGGTGTCGCGCCAACGTGATGCAGCAAATCTTGCAAAAAAAGTTTCCCATTTCGACTTCCTGCTTTCTGTCAGCCCCACATTGCGATTCATAGCATGTAAGTCAACAAAGATAGCAGTTGCTCTTGCCAGTACCATTGTAATTGTCTAATACGAAATGTAATAAATATAAGTATCTTAACATTAATTGGTGGCAGAAGCTCGTTTCATTTGATTCGTCGAATTCGTCCAGATAATGCGGTATGCAGGATGCCCTCTATCGTTCCATATTCAATGAATGCTAAATGTCTCGTCGACCGCACCTTTCATCGTCAGCGCTTCACCATTCATCATGCCATGCACGTAGCACTCCCCAATTAGTACCCAGCCATCCTCGCTTCTCTGCCCCCTTCGCCGCAGCACGAACGGCACCGTCCCGCCATACAGCACCACCACCGCGTCCCCTGGCTCCATGCTGTCCGGGCCGAGCACGAAATGGCCCTGCGCCGAGAAGCCCAGCCGGCGGTACCTCGAGATCAGCGACGCCTCATGCGACCACTTGAACGCATCGCCGCCCCCGTCGCGCCCGAGAGCGCGGATCTCGTCCGACACCATCGGGTCCGAGCGGCGGGCGGTCCGGCCCAGGTACGCGGCGGCGTTGGCGAGGTGCTCAGAGGTGGGGATGGTGGAATATTCGCGGAGGCGGCTCATGCCGACGCCGGCGTTGGTGAGGCACTGTGCCAGGGCAAGGAAGGGCGCCTCGCCGGTCGGGTAGCCGCGGGAGGTGGGCGACGAGGCAGAGAGGTGGATGGGGGCCTTTTGACGGCACACTCTCTGCCAGAGTGCGACCATGGGATGTGTGGCATCTTCACGCTGGCCGCGGACATGGAAGCTGTCCCCACGTATTACCCATGAGACAAGTTTTATTGTATCCATGTGTTTCCCTTTAATGTGAAGCGTCATTGTGCTCCTGTCGATGCTGAGCTGTGGCTTCGTGTCGCCGGCCGCGCGATGCGGCGTATCAGGCGTACCGAACAGATGATGCGCTCTATGCCGCCAGTCCGGCACCCACGAAGGCAAGGCGTTCAGCTTGAACGAGAGCGCCGAGGGCTCGCTGCCGTCCGCGTTGGTCAAGATGGAGTTTTGCCTGCTCCGGGAGACCTCGGCACCGTAGTTCGTCGCTGTCAGCATGATGAGCGACGCGGCGCCCTCGAGCCCGCGGACGGCCACGTCGCAGTAGACGTCCTCGACGGAGCGGCCGTAGTCGGCCACGAGCCCGCGTAGGGCCGGCGTGGTGTCGGGCCTGCGCAGGGAGAAGTGGCCTAGGAAGGCGAAGACGCGGTCGCGCGGGTCCTCGGCGAGCATGTGACGGGCGCGGTGTAGCTCGTAGACGAAGTCGCCGCGGCGGTGGCGCTGGTTCGCCGCGATGAGGGCCGCGTCGGGCTCCTCGAAGCGCTGGTGCAGATACCGGATGTTGGGCGTCATGACGGAAAAGCGCGCGCGCAGGTGGTGGTAACGCTCGTTGAGCACGGCGACCACGGAGGAAAGCACGTCCCAGCTGATCTCGGCCTCGCCCCAGAACAGCGTGGCCGGCGTGCGGGTGCCGATTTCCTGCACAATCCATATGCGGTTAAACTATTCATTCCGCAGTTAGCAAATGAGATCGACCGAATATCAGTCTCCAAGGGCGAACACACCCAAGGTAGCATCGCGAGCTTGGCGAACGGCCGCCATGGCACCGCATCCTGCTGGTGCAGGTTCTCCGAGTGCGCCTTGCGAAACTCCTCGTGCGCCTGCTCGTCCGCGAACACGGCCTGCAGGCGCTGCACCATGGCGATGGCGTCCCGCGCCTTGCCCTCCTCGTCGCGCCCCAGCCAGACGAGCACGCGGCGCGCGCTGCGGTACACGCTGTTCATCAGGTTAACCTGCTGGCTGCGCTCGACGACGTCGCCCTGGTTGATGCAGACCTGGTCGGCCCAGAGGCGGCGCGGGCGGTCATCGGCACGCCGCAGCCGTCGCAGCGCGTCGGCGATGCTCTCCGTGATAAGCAGCACGCGATGTTCGCCGCAACGCAGCTCGTGCGTGCGCTTCCGGCTGCCCCAGACGTACGAGACGGCCTCGAAGCCACCGTCGCCGTCCGTCTCTGACTGTTCCGCCGCCTCATCTACCGCCGCCATCGCCGCCGCCTCTTCCAATGGCTCCATGCTCAGGTCGCCGCTCAGCGGCTCCTCCGGGCTGCGCGCTGGGTGCAACGTCAGCACGCGGATGGTGCGCGCGTCAGCGAAAGGTTCATATTCGTACAAGCGCCGGGACCCCTCCGCCGTTGTCGCCTCGGCGGCTACGCTCGTCATCAGAGGCACTTCGCCCTTGCGCGAGTGTTTGGGACGCCTTAGCAGGTACGGATGGCGGCTGAAATCTCTTCTGCTCGTGAGGCCAAGCAAGGGGGCGCGTTTGTGGAAACAAGCAAGGCCGGAAGCCGTCGAGATCATGGTTTGTTTAACTAGTGGGACGCGGAGATGAGGTGGATGTTGTTTTGCGCTTGAAGTCTTGAAGCGTTGCCATATTCGGTATGAGTCACAGCCATCATCTCGATCTACCAAGATGCTTCTTGTGAGAAAGGCATTTGGTAAGATTTTTGATGAATTTCATCTATATGTAGGTGTTTTGGTTAACTTAAAAAAAGACTTCCCCTAGCGGGCGTTCTGTTGTAGACCCAACGCCCCCACACAGACTACGAGATCAATTTCCCAGCTCATGTTAATAGATATCTCGTGTATTTGTTTATTGAACACTTATTTCATGATTTGATTCGTCTTAATAGAGAGAATTCTAACTCGACTCCAGCAAATTTCTCGCATCTTTACTAAGTATGAACTGGTTCCTACCCTGCCAATCTGCTAACGCAAAGGCCACACTGTTGTGACCAGAACAACCAGAAGGATTTTTTCAATTATACATTAGTAAAGACTGCCTTTGCATCTCTCCATTAATTAAACCTTTCAAGAGGTAGCATGCTCTTATTTTCCAGATTTAAGACGGTTTGCAGATTTTGGCCATATTCTGTTGTATAGGGTAGCACAGCAAATTCCCAGTACCAACGAAAACACGGACCCTCACTGTTTGTTCATCAGGAACTTGCACCAACAAACGCCAAACTTTCTGAGGTATGACTGATTATCACGCTTTACGAGCAGATAACCTGACGTTCCATGGAACCCGATTCTTGTTTTTTGCGACATTTCACTGATTCTCCAGCGCGGATAGCTGGCAATTTGCGCCCCGTCAGGGGCAGCACACTCAGTCTTCGCCACGTCTCATCTTCCTTCTAATGGCATCAACCTCCCGCCGACTCTCGCCGAACATACATATCATCCAGTTATGCTCACAATTAACCCCCCCAGGCCCCGTTGCCGGATAAAAAACAGTCGACAGGGATGCTGATTTGCCTGTGCAAATTGTCGGTCGCACAAGGCTGCGTTATGTCTGTGAAATAGGGGGTATGTGGCGCAATGCAGCATCCCAGATATGCTAGGTAGTTATACCAATTATACGCATATCTCTGCGCAGATACGCCCTCGAGTCTGATGGTTGCATCGAGACGGCCCGCGAGGCTCTTGCCACGCTACTGCCATTGGCCTGGCGAGTCTCGAAAGCCCAAGATGCCCGCTTCCGAGACACTCCCTCTGCGGCTTACATGCATGTCCTGGTGTTTGTTGCATCCGTCCTCGCCTCTCGCCTTCTCTCCGAAAGGGAGAGATTCCCGCCCCAACCCAAATTCTTCTTGGGAAATACTCAGCACATACAGCACCAACCATCTCCCTGAAAGTTCCGCAAATATCACGATTGCTGGGGAATAATGGCCTCCGTGCGAAAAAGCGAGCTGCAAAATGTCCTCATCCTGGAGACGGAGCTGGCTGGCGACAGAAGCGCCAGCCTCACGCCTGAACAGAGCAAACGACTGCTGCGAAAAATCGACTGGTAGTGAGTCGTGGTCCCAATACTCGCCATCTGCGCTAAACAGGTCGTTGCTGACGTACCACCGAAAGCCTCATGCCTGTCATGACGCTCTGTTTTTGCTTTCCGGGTCAGCGACAATATGACGGGCATCAAGTCCACCGAGTTTAGCTGGCCGCAGCTGCGCGAGGCGCTTTGCGACTTGAACACCTGGCCTCTCTGACTGAACCAGCTGGCGCTCAACATTGCTAATGGTGGCCTTCATCCGGTACGTCGTTCCCCGTTGACGCAACCATCGAGTCCTCTATTACGAGGCACTCGTTTGGCTTCATCTGCTAATGCAAAGAAATACCACCACAGTTCTTGAACATCTTCCTCCGCGCCACCGGCTTCAGCGAGCGCCAAGTCTTCCTCCTCAACGCCTGCCAGTTTCCCATCATCTTCTTCATGAAGCTCTACGTCGCCTGGACCAGTACGCGGTACAGGAACACGCGCAACTTCTGGATGATCGTCTGCCTCGTCATCAGCGCCTTCGGCATCCTCCTCATGTGGCAGCTCCCACGGCACCTCAAATGGGGCCGCTGGGTCAGCGCTGTCCTCACCGACATGTACACTGCCAACTACGGGCTGCTCGCCGCGCTCACGTCAGGCAACTTCGCCGGCTTCACCAAAAAGTCTGTAGCAGCTGCTATTGTACTTCGCATTTATCCCCTCTCCAAAGAGAGCTGGCCACGCTAAACTGTGACCTGCTAGATCTTTGCGGCTGGCTGCGCCGGAAACATCATCGGCGCGCAGCTTTACAGCGGCTCCGAAGCGCCGGCCTACCCCACGGGGTACCTCGCGATGCTGATCTGCATCATCGCTACGATCGTCGTGTCGGTCATCACGTGGATCTACACCGTGTGGGAGAATAGGCGTCGCGATAAGGCGACGCACGAGACGGACACGGCGACGAGCGACACGATGGACATGATGGATGGCATCAAGGAAAACTTGTCGGACAAGTCGGACCGGCAGATGTTGAGATTCAGGTACATTTACTGATTCGTGGCTTCTTACTGTTAACACCGGCTTTGGTAGCGACACCTCTCACGCCAAAGAAGTCAATCCCTTGACGATCCGGCAGCCGCGTTGCCCAAGTAGTAACCAACTGTAGCCGCTGGACATAAGCTTCAACTTTGCTTGCAATCTGCCCAAAGTGGCTTGTACGGAAAATCAACTCGACGTTTTCCGAAAGAAGACGATTTGATCATGATAAAATGTGAGGCTTTTTTTGTGCTATTCTCTCTGATCATTTTTTGCAGAAATACCACGGAGCCATTCAGTGTAGCACGAACGGCGCTGCCTGTCAGGACCACCGCTGCCGAACAGTGTCCAGCACCTCGGGATTGGTGTACGATAACGATGGCTTCTGGGCTGCTGCCGTACATGTCTCATACGGTGTGGGAAGGAGTGTTTGCTCCTTTATTTGAGCTCGACGGTCGGCGGCTCTCTGAAGGTGACGAGCAACCAGGTTCTTGACGGCGTTTGCGACCATGTGGAGCCATTCACCCCTTCGATGAATTTATTCCAAAAAGATGATAGTAACAAAGTGACGAGTATGTCTGGCAGTGCGGCGAAGTATACCATAACCTGAATCCCATGGAGGAACTGGGCTACAACGGCTGTCGATCGGACATGCCCCATGCCATCTACCATGCCGAAGACCGGACGCCCTTTGAAGACTCAAAAATCAGGATGAGCGAGTTCAAGAGCATTGTCTTCTTGGCCATTGCGAACAATATGAGGGCCTAATACAACCACTTGGACTACTTTGGTGTGAGTTCCCTTCCGAGCCCAAGACGTAGGCCCGTTTGCCTGATTCTGACACTCTGGTGGGCTAGGTGACTGTGCTGTCCTTCTGCAACTGCGACGTCCGGATTGTACAGGGTCTCGTCAATTTGAAGACTCTCCACATCGATCTTCGCGTCTCACTAGTGCAGAACTTTTCGGAGGGTGTTTGGAAAGACGGCTCTATTGACAAGCGTTTCCTAAGACTGTTATCGTACGACTGTCCAACAGTCATTCCCCAGCTAAACCTAGCATGTAGTCCTGGTGCATTTTCGTGCCTTTTGTTTCTAGATAGGCGTGTTATTGTTATCAACTCTACGTTTCTTGCTAGATTACAATCTTTTTGGGACTTGGACTTTGCTGTCCTGTCGGTGGTGCGATATTAATTCCATGTCTCATTATATATCGATCATATCGTGGCAGCTAAGGCTTCGCTCGCAGCTATATACATGCCTCATATCTAATGCAATTTTCATTTCATCATCTCATTAGAAACCCTCGCGCGCTCGCACCGGAGCAGCACCATCCACGTCGCTTATCGCGTCATCATCAAACGGATTCCTCTGCTGCTCCGCCGCCCGCGCCGCCGCCCGGCCCTGTCCTTCCGGCTGACCTCGCATCTCCCAGCTCCCGACGCGCTCCTGCGCATCCCCCTCGCTCCCGTACCGCACGTCCCTGTCGCCCGCGCGCTTCTCCGCGCCGCCGCCGCCGCCGCCCGCAGCACCCCGCCGACGCAGGCGGAACCCGCCGAGGGCGCAGAGTGCAAACACGACCAGCGCGACCAGCGCGCCCATGACGAGCGCGCCAATTACGCCCGCGACGGCCGGGCTAATCTGTGAGCGGCCGCTGCTCGACGCGGCGTCGAGACTCCGGCACCACGTGGCTGTGGCGGCGTCGGGCTGGCAGATGGCGCACCACGCCGCCGCGTCCCTGCCGATGGCGGCCATCTTGTCCCGGAAGGCGAGGTACGGGATGGTCCGCCCGCCGTTCCCCGAGCCGAACAGCGAGAACACCTGGAACGTGTCGTTTGCGTCGGCCGTGGGGCGGTAGACGAAGCGCACGCTCAGGTCCTCCGGCTTCGGCAACGTACCACCACCGGAGTTTTCCGAGACGAGCTCGAAGACGGCGGCGGCGCCGGGCGCGGTGACGTTGCCGAGGGCGGTGCTGAGCACGTTGTCGCGCGTCAGCAGGCCGGTCACGGAGAAGAGCGACATGAGCGGCTGGAAGGACCCGAAGAGCAGCGTCAGCGGCACGGCGGTGGCGACGGCGGTCTGGTTCAGTTGGTCGGCGACGAGCCGCGCGAGGGTGCGCCCGGCGACGGTCAGGGTGACGCTGGCGGTGTCGTTGGCGGTGCTGGAGCCCGGGTCAGTCTTGGCGCGCGCGACTGTGAAAGCGTCGGCGGCGAGGCGCGCGAGCGTGGCCTCGGCGTTGGGAAGGGCGTCGAAGACGGTCTTGTTGTGTGCGCGCTCGTAGCGCACGAGGTTGTGGATGTCGTACGCGTTGAAGAGGTTGGCGTCGTCGGTGGGGAGAAGGCCGCGCAGCGGCGCGGAGGAGAGGAGCTGGGTGTAGAAGGAGGCGCTCTGCTGGGCGGCGGCCCTGAGGGTCGGGTTGGTGGTCAGGTTGGTCGTGGAGGCGGCCTGCCAGTTGGGACAGCTGAGATGGCCTTGGATGCTGCGGGTCGTCAGGTGGCTGCTGCTGTTTACCGTGGTCTAATTGTGTACGTACCCGATGGAGTTGATGTCCGTGCTGGGAAGCGTCTCGATCTGCGGATACTGGTAGCCGTCGAGGGGATAGCTGGTCGTGTTTCCGGCGACGTAGTTCTCGGCCAGCGCCTGGCCGCCGGCCGCGGCGTTGAAGGCTGTGCGGTCGGGCGGGTACAGCGCCTGCATGAAGGCGACGGCGCCGCCGGCCACCCACTCGTCCCTCTGCGAGAGGACGCGCAGCTGCGTGTTGTCAATTGCGTTTTGCCCGAGGCCCCGGATCGGCGCGGCGCCGGTCGTCGTCGCGTTGCCGGCGGCGGCGGAGAGGTAGCGCCGGCGAAAGGCCTGGCCCTGCCGGTACAGCTGCTGGGCGCCGGCAGGTGTCAGGACTGGGTGCGAGCTGAGCAGGAACGGCGTCGTCTCCCCGTGGTTGACAAAGGCGACGGCCGCCCAGACCTTGCCGCTCGTGCTAGTCACGGCGTTGGAGCCGCCGTCTTCTTGCGGCCGGGCCGCGGCGCCGGCGACGGCCAGCGCGAGGAGGGGTAGCAGCGACGTTGGCGGGGTCATCTTTTAATCCCGGTCCTTGTGATTGGCGGTGAGGTGAGATGCTTTAGTGAGATGGTAGATCCTGGGGTGAAGGATCTTGCCTCGACAAGAGACCCGAGGATCTCCAAGAACCAGAGCCGCAGAGGGGAAGATGAGGCTACACGATCAGAAAAAGAGAGGCCGGGGGGAAAACGAACGACTTGTATTTTCAAGGCTAAAAAGGCTGAACCAGGCTATAGAGGTCGGTGGTTGGCCGCACCGGGTCGCCCCGCCGCTTGGGCGCTCCGGGCTAGAATCGAGAATGATTTGGTGCGGCGGATGAAGAAAATGGGCGTTTGCGGCTGAGAAGCAGCGGTGATGCCAGCTGGGCGTGTGCCTGCACTAAACCAGGCTTGGTGTCCTCAGGGTTCTCGTCCTTCTCGTCCCTCCGATTCGTGGCCTTCGATACTTGTAGAACCACCCTGCTCCGTATGCAAAACACCAGCGGCCGCCAGCGCATCGACCGCTTCCCGCGTCCACTCCTGGCACCGCCGGAGCGGCTCCCCGGGGAACAGCCGCCTCGCTCCGTCAAACTGCTTCTTGGGCGGCGGCACGGCCTCGCAGACGGCCCGGACGCGGGGCAGGTCCGCCGCGGCGACCCAGCCCAGATACTCGCGGCGGAGGAACTCGGGCGACGACTCGGGCTGGTGGCGCGTCTTGACCTCGAAGGTCATGCCGTGCTGGATGGAGCCGGCCGCTTGGAAGACGGTGCCTGGGCCGGGGCTGTCGGCGGGCGCGGCGGCATCGTCCGGGATGAAGAGGGCGTGGTGGTCGCGTGGCGCGCCGAGGGAGATGGCCAGATAAACACGGTGCTGCATCGGGGGCGATGGAGAGACGAGAGTTGATTTGGGGGGGGTGCACCGTTGATGTTGGCAAACAAAGCCCCTGGGCCGTTAGGCATCCTTCCAGGCACCTATTTTTCTACGAAGCGAGTTGGGTGTAGCTTTTCAGCCTACCTACATTCTACTACAAATTTCTCTGCATTTCAATTTTTTTTTTCATAGCCGAAAAAAAATCCCGATCAATCATTAATTTTCTAGCAGCGACACCTTCACTTGGGACTCATTAGGTACATGCCGAAACCATCAGGCGTTGTACTGCCTAGGACTACCTCCAACTAGTCCATTCAACGAAGTTGTTAAACTCGATATCCCTCTGGGCCGCGGAGTGAATGTTTTGGAATAAGTTGACAGTTACTACGCTTATCAACATAAGAACTATGAAGGTCAAGGCTGTGAGCTCTAGAGCTAGTAATGTGGCTTCATTAGCACTTGTTTACGTCAGGCTCCGAACGCCGCTATTTTATACCGGTTGACTCAGGCCGTTACTATTCAATACTAGTAGTTGCTAAGAACCCAATCCATGCTGAAAAAGAAGTTGGGTCGAAGATAAGTACCGCAGGAGGCCCCTCAGTCTACGGTCTACCTCAATTCACACAAACCCGCCGCCTGTCCTGACCAGCATGCCTCTCCAAGTACAGCACGTCGACTTTTCCGACGGCGACGAGCTCGCCCTCGTCGCCGCGCTCTCCAACGTCGACAACCAGTTCAACAAGGCCGCGCACCCGAGCCGCTCCTACGACGAGGAGCTGGCCGGCAGCAAGGAGCGCTGGCCCGCCGTCTACGGCTACGAGGCGTGGCACACGCTCAAGGTCGTCGACGCCGCGACCGGCAAGGCCGTTGCGACCTCGCGATGGATCGTGCCCCCGCCATACAAGGCGCACCTGCCCGCCCTCACAGGTACAGCACGCCGCTACTTCCCTTTCGCGAGGACAAATGGTTGACGTTTCATGGGCAGGTATACCCGAGGGGATGGAGCTGCCCCCGCGCAAGCCTCCGACGACGCTGGATCGAGACTTTTTCGGGCGCTACTGCGACGAGCTCGATCCCATCGAGGCGCGGGAGATTGGCGAGCGTCCGAGTCTGCGTGAGTAAAAGCGAAGCAATGTGGCGAGTATGGCTTCAGGCTGACGTGACGGATGCCCAGGGCTGGACTTGATCGGCACATTGCCCGAGTACCGCAGTCGGGGCGCGGCGAGCCTCATGCTGCGGTGGGCGGCCGACTTTGCAGACGAGCACGGTTTGGTGAGCCACTTCGACGTCGCAGGGCCTGTAGAGACGGTCTATGCGAAGCTCGGCTGGGAGGAGAAGGGGTCGTTTGAGGTGGCTCGCGGCGATGGCCAGATGGTCGCGTTTACGGTTATGGTGAGGGAGCCCAGGATGAGCGCCAGCTGAGGATCCGCACCTGTGTAGAGCATGTAAATAGGAACGGTCAATTGATTCTGAATTTTCCGTTTGTCTTGAGAAGACATCCTGAGTGTATTGGCGTCGTGGCCTGGATCGTGCGCATGGCTGTGTGTTTTCGCTGGTTGGTGAAGTGATGCTGATTGGTTTGGGCTTGCGAGTTTGACAACTGGGCATCGTGCTAACTGGGCAGAGTGCTATCAAAATTATTTAGCGAGCTCTTATTTAGAAATAACTCGACCGTCAACGTCTCCAACCGCCCCATGACAAGTGGTCCACCACTTCAATGGTTCCATGGTCTAACGGTTATGACTGCGGATTCTGATTCCGCCAGCGAGGGTTCGACTCCCCCTGGAACCTTTATTTTTGCTGACGTTTCATTTCTTCATCCTGTTGCTGCTGTTCCCTTTTTGATGTCTGACCATCGCCCACTCTGCAAACTTGAATCGCGGCGGCTCTTCAGCTACACTCAAGGCTGTAGCTCGGATGGCTGTCTACCAGTAGGCCGATAACATGTCCTCGTACACATTGTTTCCGGCGCATTTATTCCGCATAGATCTTTCGATCAGCCTGGCGTTTGACTTCCCCAAACCTTTTTCTTCTCTCGGGTTGTTCCTGGCCGCCTTGGGGGTTGCGACTGGGGCTACCTCGTACGCACGAGTTACGATTTTTCGATTCCTTGACTCTGCAGTCGCAAATCGAGCCCAAAGAAGACAAAACGAAATATCTTCTGCACGGCAGAAAACAGGTCCCCAAGAACCAAACGTCTTCTTATGTATAACAACAAGTCTCAAATCCGATGCTGGAGTGGCGAGCGAATCGCACGCGCCATTCCGTCATCTCCTCAAGATCACATTATTCCGCATCGAGAAACATACGGCAAGGTGTAAGCCGGGCCGCGTTCATGGAAGCACAGCCCTACAAGCGCTTGATTAAGCAAAACAGACGGGCCTTCGTTGCTCCACGGAACCTTACATGGAGGCTTCACCTAACACCGACGTTCAGGGTTGTCTTACGGTTGTCACGACTGCTGGGATCGGCAAGCCTTAGCCTGTCACCGTCGATGTATACGTAGTCGCCGCGGAATGTGCAAACCTACATATATCCAAGCAGTCTGCCCATGACATTAGGCCCAGTGCATTCCTACACTCACCGATACTATCTCATCCCCGATACTGATTCCTTTTTGTCAACCGCAGCCATGCTCCACACCTCGACGCTCGCCTGGGCAGCTGTTGCTGCAGCGGTCCTCGGCGTGGAAGCCAGCAGGCCCCCGGAGGTGAAGCTGTCGGCCGGCACACCAAGGCGGCATTTGCCCCAACTCCGACGTCAAGCTCTTCCAAGGCATTCCCTACGCGCAGCCTCCAGTAGGCAAGGGCCGCTTCATGGCCCCAAAGGCCTTGGGGGTCATTATCCGGGAGGTGTCCTGAATGCGACGAAACCACCAGCAACTTGTACCGAATTGGAGATACTCTTGCCGGTAATTATCCCACACCCTCCGAGAGCTGGTATGACATACACGAAAGCCTCATTCATCGTGCGTTACCTTGCTAACGTCGAACCAGCCTCTACCTCGACGTCTATGTCCTACGGCGCGCGAGCAGCCCCGCTTGCCCGTCAATGTCTACTCCTACGGCGGGGGCAACATCGGCGGCGCCATCACCTACCGGCTGTACAACGCCTGTAGCCTCGCCCGCGACGCTATCGTCGTCACTTTCAACTACCGCCTGGGCGCTCTCGGCTTCCTCGCGCTCGACGCGGCCGGCATCCGCGGCAACGCCGCCATCCCCGACCACCTGGTAGCACTGCGCTGGGTCCGGGACAACATCGCCGCGTTTGGCGACGCGCCCGACCGCGTGCTGCTGTTTGGGTAGTGAGCGCCGGCGCGGACAATGCGTTCGTGGTGTCGACGCTGCCCGGGGTCGGCGCGCTGGCGGCGCTGCAGTCGGGCGGCGGCAGGGACGTGACGAGCTACGAGATGGCGCAGAAGGCGGGCGCGGCGTATGCGGAGTACCTGCACTGCCGGCGCACGATGTAAGTCGGACGGATCCTTGGCGTCGATCTTGGCAGCAGATGGACTAACAACTAATGCCGCCGTTACAGCTGGACTGCCTGCAATCCATGCCGGCTGAGAACCTGACGGATGCTTTTGGCAACACGACGCTTCTCATCGGCAACGACTCAGCCAAGACGCTGGTGCTTTTCAACATTGGTCGCCCAAACATGCCAGATGTGGGCGCGGCGTCGATCGACAATGACCTCATCAAGGAGCAGCCACTGCATCTGGGCTCTCAAGTGCCTCTCATCTCGGGATGTAGTACGTGCAACCCAGACCCTGACACGAAAAAAAAAAAAAACCACCTGCTGGCAGAGATGAAAGACGCCAACGATAGCAACCTCTTTGTCTTTCTGTACTACTACCTCCACACTACCCCGGACGCGATCCCCAGCGAGGAAAACTACAATAAGTTCATTGTGGCGCGGGGTCCCGGCGCAGACCTGCTCAACCGCACGTACCCGCTCGGCGCCTTTGTCTCCGCGCTCAACGGTAGCGTCGCCGAGGCCGTCGTCGCCGGCGTGTCGCGCATGGTGACGGCTGCGAGCTACAAGTGCCCCTCGTACAAGGTGCACCGGGCCGCGCACGCCGCGCGCACACGCTCCTACGCGTACCAGTTCGACCACCAGCCCAGCTGCCCGTGGCTGTTCGGCGACGGGGTCGGGCCGGTGCCGGCTGCCGGCGCCGCCGCGGACATATACGGCGCGGCGCACTGCGCGGAGCTGCCGTTTGTTTTCGGTACCATGGACCGCAGGCCGTTTGGCGAGGGCAACTGCTCAGCGTCGGCGGCGGAGCGCGCGCTGAGCGAGGTGATGGGGGCGGCTTGAACGGAGATGGCGGCGAACAAGGCCCGCCGTCGACGGAGAGGCTGCGGGGGTTCCCCCGGGGGGGGGGGGGCAAGGGCGTGTTTCTGGATGAGGTGATTCGCGTGGGCGTGATGGAGTACGCGGAGTGTCAGGTGTGGGATGCGGTGTTTGGAATGCTGGGTGGGGTGATTCCACCAGCGGTAAAGTGAGTGCCTCAAGTCGTGAAATGCAATCTGTACCTTTCAATATATCTGTTCATTTCTCCTCAACTACGGGATATATCTTGAATTATTTTAGCGACCTACCTATTATTAAGGTTAGTTAGTCCATAAAGTATCCCAATCGCCTAGCGTCCGTATGCAATCTAGCTGCTAGAGGCGGAAGTGTTGGCACACCTTGTGCTTAGTTATCAGATCTTTGGCCTATCGAATGACATCACAACTCGGCGAGGGAGCAAGGTGAAGAAAGAGTCGAGTAAATGTTCGCCTTGTACGGGAAATTTAAGGGAGGGTGACAGTGGCTATTTTGCAGCTTGCCAGGCAAGCCAGGCTGCAGGGAGATTGGCCCGCACTGCCACCGTAAAGCACTAACCCTAAATAGGAAGGCTCCTCTTCCTGAGTCAGCCGACAACTCAAAAAGAAATGCTCCACTAAATCAATCTAGGGCCAACCAGAGTGCGTGGCTCACCTTGTGGCTGGGCTCTCCCTGTCTCCCGCCTGAGCTGCCGCGCTGGTCAAGTCGGAGCAAGTCCACAACCAAGCCTGCGTTGCACTACCCCGGCCCAGATCGAGCAACGCACCTGCAGCAACCACCAAGCACTGCCATCCATCGACGAGGCAAGACTGATTGATAACAACTTCGCGAACCTGCCTTCATACTGTCCTCTGCGCTTGCGCATCCGATGCCCTCCGCTCGCATGGACAGCTTCCAGGCTGCCGCCTGATCCCCCCATCTCTCCCTCGCTCTCGTTTTAACCCGCCACTCTTTTTCCTCTCCACCCCCATTTTTAGACAAAACAGACAGCCATGGACGTCGCTGCGCAGCTATTTGCACCTGCCGTCGATGGCCCCCGCGACGACCCAGCCAACGGCTTGAACCCCTCGCAGCCCAGGTACTTGCACTCGCCGCCCGACAGCAGTAATGCAGTCAAATCGGACGCGAGCGACTCCGAGCTCAGCGAACTCGACGACGAACCCCCCGTCGATGCTGCTCCCCCCGGCCTGGACGCCTCGGCCGAGGTGCCGCCTGCCGCCGAGGACGATCAAGATGACATCGGAGATGTAGTGCCCGATCACTGGTCCGGCACCGTACCCGTCTTCAAACCGACAATGGAACAGTTCAAGGATTTTAAGAAATTCGTGCGTTTGCCCGTCGCCGCCGCTGGCGCTGCCATGCCGCCACGCTTCCCGCACAACGCCCCTTCGCTAACCATGCAAACGCGTGACAGATGAAAAAGGTCGACAGCTACGGCATGACGTCGGGCATCATCAAAATCATCCCACCTCAGGAATGGAAAGATGCTCAGCCCAAGCTTGACGAATTGATCAAGCAAATTCGTGTCCGGGAACCAATCAAGCAGGATATCATGGGCTCAAACGGAACATACAGACAGGTTAACATTCTGCACGGCCGATCGTACAACCTGCCCCAGTGGCGCCAGCTCTGCGATCAGAGCGAGCACCAACCGCCCGCCCGCCGAGGTGAGCGACGAGCAAACACGGATAAGCCGAAACCTCCGAGATCGAAGCCCGCCGTCCCGAAACAACCTGACACGTCGGCACCCAAGAAGCGCGGTCGCGGCCGCCCTCCTAAGAATAAGGCCAAGCATGATGATGCGGCCGTCCAACGAGGCGACCGCCCGATGACACCCGTATCGCCCAAGTCAGGGTCGGAGGAACCAAAAGAAGAAAAGCCCGAGGTGCTTAAATCCGTCGAGAATGACGGTCCAGAGCCAGAACCGAAGCAGGAGCCTGCCCCTGCCCCTGCTCGGATGGGTGGACGTATGGGGGGCGTCAAACCCGCCAAGGAAAAGACGCAGTCGGTCTCAGCACGCAGAAAGAATGGCCGCCGTGAAGGCTCTGTCGCCATCGACGAGGAAGCTTTCAAAGACTTTGACTACAAAATGGACATATCCGACTACACCGCTGAGCGATGTGAAGAATTGGAGAGAGCGTACTGGAAAACTCTTACATATGCGCCTCCTCTCTACGGCGCCGACATGATGGGTACTCTGTTTGACGATTCTATGGACACTTGGAATTTGAACAAGCTGCCTAATCTTCTCGATGTACTTGGCACCAAGATTCCTGGCGTCAACACGGCGTATCTCTATCTCGGCATGTGGAAAGCCACATTTGCATGGCATCTCGAGGACGTGGATCTCTACAGTATCAACTATCTTCACTTTGGCGCACCAAAGCAGTGGTACAGTATCTCACAAGCCGACGCCCCCAAATTTGAGAGGGCAATGAAGAATATCTGGCCTGCGGATGCCAAGTCTTGTAGCCAGTTCTTGCGACACAAGGGTTACCTCATTTCTCCCCAGCATCTTTTGTCACACTACGGCATCCGTGTCAACAAGTGTCTCTCATACCCCGGAGAATTTGTTGTCACATACCCCTACGGCTATCATTCCGGATATAACCTGGGCTACAACTGTGCCGAGGCCGTCAACTTTGCCCTCGACTCATGGCTTCCGATGGGTAAAATCGCAAAGCGATGTGAGTGCTCGCAAGCACAGGACAGTGTCTGGATCGACGTCTACGAAATTGAGCGCAAGCTGCGTGGCGAACCGACACCAGAATACTACGAGGAGACTGAGGATGAAGACGAAGAAGATGACGAGGATATGTTAGGAGTTCTGTCGCCTCCCCCCAGCGCCCTCAAGTCCAAGCACGCTAGGAAGCGCAAGCACATCGGAGAGCGTGGCTCAAAGAAGATCAAAAAGCTCCGCCTACGGCTCAAGCCAAAGGCAGACCCGCCTTGTTGCCTCTGCCCCAACGACTTTAGTGGCATGGAGATCTTGCCTACTAACGACGGCCGCAAAGCTCACAGAATGTGCGCCCTGTACATCCCCGAAACCTACATTGATACAGTCGAAGGACAGGACGTCGTGTGCAATCTCAGCAACGTGCATAGGGACAGACTGGATCTTAAGTGCCTGTTCTGTCGCTCTAAGCGCGGCGCCTGCTTCCAATGTTCACAGAAGAAGTGCGCCAGAGCGTACCATGCGACATGCGCTGCTGCAGCCGGCGTATTTATCGAGGAACAAGATATCCCAGTCTATGGCGAAGACGGTGTTGAGTACAAGGAACAAGCTTTCGAGTTTAGCTGTCGCTTCCACCGCACTCGCAGAGATAAGAAGCTCGATGGCATAGCACTTGAAGCTGACGACCGCATTCATCGTGCTGCTAAGGCTGTCAAATCGGACGAGATATGCCAGTTTCAATACGCTAAAGGTGACATTTTCGCCGGCCTCGTCATTGAAAGCCGCAGCGACGAAGAGACGTTCCTTGTCAGCGTCGTCCCCACTGGCGAGCGTATCGACATTGAATGGAAGTGGCTGCTTATACCCGATCCTTCGGATTATCACCTACCCAAGGCGTCACCGAATGCACTCCCGCTGCCTGCCTCAGAAAAGGCCAGAAAACGAATCAATGCAAAGAGACAGGATGATGACAAGCCACGCAAGGGCGACGAGTTTGCTGAAGGATACACCTGGTCCGAGTTCAATCTTCACGACGTTGCCGTCAACAAGGACCAGGTCAAAGTCGACTTTGCGAAGGCAGATCAGATTTGGCATTATCTTGGCAGTACCTCTACGGAAGCCAAGGCTCAATACACCGAAGACCCAACCAAGCGGCGACATAACCCGAAGGCTAACTTCCTGGACACTATTCCCAAACCACCAAGGCCAATTGCAGTACCGAAGGTTAAGCAGGCTCGACAACAAGGCGTCCCGGGTGGGCATTTGTATCACCAGCAATCTTACGGACGCTATATTCCACCGCTGGCCGTCGGCAACACCGTCATGGGTAGGCCCTATGCTCATCCACAGCATGCGGCCTCTCCCCAAGCTGCTGGCACGCATAATGTGCAAATTCCATACGCAAACATGCCAGCCTATTCTCAGCGAGGGCAGATGGTTGGAAACAACGTGCCACAAGAAGTACCCAGGTTCACTGTTCACCCGTCTGTATATCATACGTACCAGTTCTTCCAGATCCACTTCAACAGGGAGCCGTCCAGATACCGCACGCCCTATGCCACTTGCGGTGGATTTATCAATGGCTACCAAAACAACTGCAAGGCTCAGTTGCCGATTAATGGTAGCCAAGCTGGCTCTATGAGGCGGGTAGATAATGTGCCAGTCCCGGCAGGCCACTTTCACGGCGTACCACAACCTGCGGCACCCAATGCCCGACCTCAGCCTGTGGCCGCAACAGCAATGAAGTCGGATAAGGCAAAGGCAACGCCGCCACAAAAGGCCGTTTATAAGATACCTGCGAAGCAATCGCCCGTGCCGCTACCACCGGGGTTCCTTGCCGCAATGGGCGCATCGCCCCCGCCAGCAGCTGCACCAGGGACAGAAAAGCAAGCCGCGACTGCATCGCCAGTAGCAGTCACGGCGCCCAGCCAGCCCCGAATTGCGAAGCCGTCTGAAGCAGCAAAGATATCTAGGACACCGGTGCCTCTGCCGTCGTCTGCGTTAGCGTCGCGGCATCATGCTTCGATCATTAAGAACACATCAACATCCCAGAATAACGGCAATGTGGATATTGCTTCAACAGAAAGGGAACCCACTCCCCCACAAAAATACTACCAGACGCCGCCGGAACAGCAAGAATTTGTTGACGTGCCGGGCCGAGAATCTATGGAATTCGTCGACAACATGATGCGGAATCTGCGGCGGGCGTCTCAACAAGGAACCGCAACAAACTAATGTGCGCAACTGAACGACGCTTTGAATTGTACGCTGGTGATGAGAACGACGACATGCGCTTCTAGATTCTATTACAACTGTTATTCTCAACGACTGGGGCTGTTTTGTTTTCTAATATTTTACCGGCGTTGAAAGGTTTTGGGGCGTATACTATGGCTGTATGAAAGGCTGGTGCGCTCGAAGCGCGTCTTGGGGGTTCTATGGCGCAACAAACGGCAGGCTTTACTTTATTTTTTTCTTCTTTCGCTTCTGGTCCTTTTTCTTCTTTGCGCCTTTTTAACTCAAAGTTGTTTACTTGCAAGACAGTTTTCCTGTCTCTGATTGGAAGGCTGGCTGTATTGTAGCCAGACAGCGTTGGGTTGTGTAGTAGTGTTTGGGTGCTCCCACAATGGGGCCTTGCTATTCATGTTCAACTATGTAGCATTTTTATTACTCCTTTAAATTTATTTACTTTCCCTCAATGACCTTAATAAACGTGGAGCGATTGCGTGCTTGCAGCTTATTAGTAACGGCTCGGTTATGCGAGGCCTAGTAAGCTTCTCCAGCTGCGATAACGGCCGAGGTTTGACCCCGCCAAACCAAAACGTCATGCAGGTTGGTGTTTCCGAGGGGTGAGGAGAAAAAAAGTTGCGCAATTCAATCACACATCACCGAGCCTCTTCCACGGCGACGCTACAGAAGCTAGCGATTAAAAGTTTTCGGTTACTTGCGAATGTCTGTGTTTGCTGCAGCGACTCGACCCCTCGTTCGAACGCTCGCCGCTTCCCCGACTACCCCGACAGCGCTCCGCACTACCACGACGCGAGGGCTGTGTGCGACCATGGGCCTCTCCGACAAGCTGAAGCCCGCGGCGCGGGTATCCGGCCAAAAGCAAGATGTCTGGTAAGCAGACAGGAAGCACTCTCCTCCTCGCCCCCGCCCTTTCCCCCTTCTCTTCGCTCCGACAGGGACGACTGGCTAACAGGCGTTCGCGCCCCCACGCAGGTCCATCATCAACGAAGCGGCGGCCGCCTCGCCCAAGCAGCCGATCGTCAACATGGGCCAGGGCTTCTTCGGGTACAACCCGCCGGGGTTTATCCTGGACGCGGCCAAGGAGGCGCTGGGCCGCGTGGACTGCAACCAGTACTCGCCGACCCGTGGCCGGCCGCGGCTGAGGAAGGCGATCGCGGAGTCGTACGCGCCGCACTGGGGGCGGGCGATCGACCCGGAGACGGAGGTGACGATCACGACGGGCGCCAACGAGGGCATGCTGAGCGCGTTCATGGCGTTCCTGGAGGACGGCGACGAGGTGATTATCTTTGAGCCCTTTTTCGACCAGTATGTTTCCGAAACAACGAGCCAAAGAGCGGGGATTTGGGATGGCGGGGGCTGACAAGGGGTGAAATACAGGTACATTTCGAATATCCAGATGCCGGGGGGCAAGATTGTCTACGTGCCGCTGCATCCGCCCGCCACGGGCGCGACGAAGACGTCCTCGGCGGCGGACTGGACGGTGGACTTTGACGAGCTGGAGCGCGCGATCACGCCTAAGACCAAGATGATTGTCATCAACACTCCTCGTACGTGCCATTCCTAGCATAGTGAGCACGTGAAGAGTGCAATGCTGACTTTGACAGACAACCCCGTGGGCAAGGTGTTCTCAAAGGACGAACTGCAAAAGATTGCGGACCTGTGCGTCAAGAACGAAATCATCATCTTGTCGGACGAGGTCTACGACAAGCTCTACTACGTGCCGTTTACGCGCATCGCGACTCTCTCGCCCGAGGTCGAGCGGCTGACGCTGACTGTCGGCTCTGCGGGCAAGAACTTTTACGCCACTGGCTGGCGCGTCGGTGAGTGTTATCCATCCAACCAGTCCCGCCCGTACTATATTATGCAACTCTTTCCCTCTTTTTGCTAACACGACCCCGGGTAGGCTGGCTCATCGGCCCCGAGCACCTGATCAAGTACGTGGCCGCCGCGCACACGCGCATCTGCTACTCGTCCGTGTCGCCGCTGCAGGAGGCGTGCGCGGTGGGCTTTGAGGAGGCGGAAGCGCGGGGCTTCTGGGCGTCCACGATCGCGGAGATGAAGGGCAAGATGGACCGGTTCAACGAGGTGTGGGGGGAGCTCGGGCTGCCGTACTCGGAGCCCGAGGGCGGCTACTTCGTGCTGGTCAACATGGCCAAGGTCAAGGTGCCGGCGGACTACCCGTTCCCGGCGCACGTGGCGAGCCGCCCGCGAGACTTCAAGCTCGCGTGGTTCTTGATCCAGGAGGTGGGCGTGGCGGCGATCCCGCCGACGGAGTTCTACACGGACGAGAACGCGCACCTGGCGGAGGACTACATCCGGTTCGCGGTGTGCAAGGAGGACGCGGTGCTGGAGGAGGCGAAGAATAGGCTGCGGGGGCTGAAGAAGTACATGGAGTAGGGGGGAAGGTGGTAAGTCACCAGGTGTGGACTGTTAGAGGGGCCTTGTATGGGGGCTGGTAGATGGATGGATGAATGTATAAAGGTTTTGTTATACATCGGACGTGTGGTCCGGGGTCGCCCGGTATGTGGTGGTGTGGATGTTTATGTAGTGGGTTGGGTCCCGGGGCAGAATCTGGGGTAGAAGGCTCGGTTCATGCCGATAGAGGTCGTGGACCAGAAGATGAACTGTGATAACAATGGTTTTTTGCTGAGGCAATTGTTTCAAGTACAACCACTATCTAATGTTGGAACTTTATCGGTGCTCATGGCGGCGGTGGGATATCGGCGAGTGGAGGGGTCCGATGGAAGAGAGTCGGAGCCGGCCGATGGCAGGCGATGGCAGGCGCCAAGTACAGAGTACCTGGGTAGAGGTCGATCCGAGGTCTGGCTGCACACCTTCTTCCCCTGACTCCCATAATGTCATATTCATGGAAATACTCGTGGATTCTTTAGCGATGATCAAGATGAATTACTCGATTTTTCTGTCTTTTAAAAGAGTGTAGCCATGAATTTGCGGACTGGATGACAGCTTTTGTCCAACCTGAGAGGCAGGTACCTGGTACATGCTTTCCACTCAGGCTGCGGCCCGCTAACCCCGCACTAACGTGGAAGGTCGCCACCACTGCGAGATGTGAGAAGTCTCCAGTCCAATCAAGGTGCAGGCATTGTCCATCACGCCGCAATGACATGCACAGGTTCGCCACGGGGATCCTGCTGAACTCCTTTCGTGGTATTCTAGAAAATTTGGGACTATAAATACACCGCGTCTTCACTTTACGCTTTCTGGATTTTTATGTTGAAACCCTCGGCATCTCCCCCAAGACCAAGCCGTTAGCGTATCGTTTGTGGAGGCTGCTTGCTATCTGTGCTTAGCCTGAATGCTTCTCCAACTTTAGACCACCCGGCCTTGGGTACTTATCCCACGCCCGCCCGCCCAGCTCCGGGTTTGTCGAGCCTTCTTTCCACTCTCCATCTTCATCTCGGCTTTCTTTGAATATCATCTCTCCTTCGAAACCACACCCCACGACCTCCAGACACCCAAGCTTCTCTACCTGCCCAACTACCGACAACTCCTCGCTACCTGGACAGCTCGCTGTCTCACGGCGCCGACATGGCTCCCACCGCCGTCGAGGTCAAAAACGAGCCCAAGGCCGCTGATCTGGCCGCACTGACCGCCGATTTCGACGGCACCCTGCGCTTCTACCTCAACGGCACCAGAGTTGTCCTCGACGACATTGACCCGGAAGTCACCGTCCTCGAGTATCTGCGCGGCATTGGCCTCACGGGCACCAAACTGTAAGCTTCTCCTTGACTGCGACGAGACGTCCTCGTGCTTTCTTCGACGAGAACCTCTCTCTAACTTGAACACCAGCGGCTGCGGCGAAGGCGGCTGTGGTGCCTGTACCATTGTAGTCTCCCAGTTCAACCCGACCACGCGCCGGATCTACCACGCCTCCGTCAATGCATGCCTCGCACCCCTCGTCAGCCTTGACGGCAAGCATGTCATCACCATAGAAGGCATCGGCAACACCGAGCGCCCTCACCCGACCCAGGAGCGTGTTGCCCGTGGGAACGGCAGTCAGTGCGGCTTCTGCACCCCGGGCATAGTCATGAGCCTGTACGCACTCCTGCGCAACAACGATGCACCCACCCCACACGACGTCGAGGAGGCCTTTGACGGAAACCTCTGTCGCTGCACGGGGTACCGTCCAATCCTAGACGCTGCGCAGACGTTCAGCGTCAAGAAAGACGCTCAAGGCTGCTGCATGGACGCAAAGACAAACGGTGCTTCGAACGGTGTGAACAGTGTGAATGGTGCGAATGGTGCGAATGGCAAGAAGAATGGCACTGGCTGTTGTATGGAAAACGGCAACGGCCGCCCTGCCAACGGCGGATGCTGCATGGACAAGATCAAGGACGACCAGCCCATCAAGCGCTTCACCCCGCCCGGCTTCATCGAGTACAAACCCGACACGGAACTCATCTTCCCCCCGCAGCTCAAGAAGCACGAGATGCGCCCGCTGGCCTTTGGCACCAAGAAGAAGACCTGGTACCGCCCCGTCACGCTCGACCAGCTCCTGCAGATCAAGAGTGTCTACCCCCAGGCCAAGATCATCGGCGGCAGCACCGAGACGCAGATCGAGATCAAGTTCAAGGCGCTGCAATATCCCGTGTCCGTGTACGTCGGCGACATTGCCGAGCTGCGACAGTACAAGCTCCGCGAAGATCACATGGAGATTGGCGGCAACGTCACCCTGACCGATCTCGAGAAGCTCTGCGAGACAGCGATGGAGCACTACGGTCCCGTCCGCAGCCAGGTGTTTGCGGGCATCCTGAAGCAGATCAAGTACTTTGCCGGCCGGCAGATCCGCAATGTCGGCACGCCCGCCGGCAACCTCGTCACGGCCTCGCCCATCTCCGACCTGAACCCGGCGCTGTGGGGAGCCAACGCGGTCCTGATCGCCAAGTCGGCCACGGAGGAGACGGAAATCCACATGTCCCAGTTCTTCACGGGGTATCGCAGGACGGCGCTAGCACCGGACGCCATCATCGCGTCCATCCGCATACCGGTCACGGCGGCCAGGGGTGAGTTCTACCGCACCTACAAGCAGGCCAAGAGAAAGGACGACGACATCGCCATCGTCACCAGCGCCCTACGCGTGAAGCTGGACGATGCCGGCATCGTCCGGGAGACAAGTCTCATCTACGGAGGCATGGCGGCCACCACGGTCTCGGCCAAGTCGGCAGAGGAGTATCTCATCGGCAAGCGCCTTGCAGAGCTGGAGACGCTCGAAGGCGTGATGAATGCGCTCGGTCGCGACTTTGACATGCAGTTCAGCGTCCCTGGTGGCATGGCCTCGTACCGCAAGGCGCTTGCATTTGGCTTCTTCTACCGGTTCTACCATGATGTCCTTTCTGCACTAGATGGCAAGGACGCGGACAGGCAGGCCGTAGACGAGATCGAGAGAGAGCTGTCCGTGGGCCAGATTGACCACGACTCGGCGCAAAAGTACGAGCTCGAGGTGACGGGCAAGTCGAACCCGCACGTCGCCGCCCTGAAGCAGACCACCGGTGAAGCCCAGTACACGGACGACATTCCCCAGATGAAAAATGAGTTGTATGGCTGCTGGGTGCTGTCGACCAAGCCCCGCGCCAAGATTCTGTCGATCGACTACTCAAAGGCTCTTGACATGCCCGGTGTGGTGGACTACATCGACGCCAAGGACATGCCCGACGAGGAGGCCAACAAGTTTGGCGCGCCGCACTTTGACGAGCGCTTTTTTGCAGAGGGCGAGGTGTTTACGGCAGGCCAGGCGATCGCCATGATCCTGGCCACGTCTCCCAACAAGGCGACCGAGGCTGCCCGCGCAGTCAAAGTCGAGTACCTCACGCTTCCCTGCGTGCTCACTATGGAGGAGGCCATTGAACAGGATAGCTTCCACCCCGTGTACAGGGAGATTAAAAAGGGCGACACCGAAGAGGCTTTCCAGAACTGCGACTACGTGTTTACGGGTACCGCCAGAATGGGTGGCCAGGAGCACTTTTATCTCGAGACGAATGCGTGTCTGGCAATCCCTTCGCCAGAAGACGGCGCGATGGAGATTTTTGCCAGCACGCAAAACGCCAACGAGACGCAAGTGTTTGCCGCGCGAACGTGTGGCGTCGCGGCGAACAAGGTCGTCGTTCGCGTCAAGAGACTAGGCGGTGGCTTTGGCGGCAAGGAATCGCGGTCCGTGATTCTCAGCTCCGTCGTGGCGCTGGCCGCCAAGAAGACGAAGCGCCCCGTCCGATGCATGCTCACCCGCGAGGAGGACATGTTGACGATGGGACAGCGCCATCCCTTCCTGGCGCACTACAAGGTCGGCGTCAACAAGGACGGCAAGCTCCAGGCCCTAGACCTGTCCGTCTACAACAACGCCGGCTGGACGTTTGACCTGAGCACCGCGGTCTGCGAGCGCGCGATGACGCACTCGGACGGGTGCTACAGCATCCCCAACGTGATGATCCGCGGACGCGTGTGCAAGACCAACACCGTCTCCAACACGGCGTTCCGCGGCTTCGGCGGGCCGCAGGGCATGTTCATCGCGGAGACCTACATGGAGGAGATTGCGGACCGGCTCGGCATGCCGGTGGAGACGCTGCGCGAGATCAACATGTACAAGCCGCGCGAGGAGACGCACTTCAACCAGGCGCTGCAGGACTGGCACGTGCCGCTCATGTACCAGCAGGTGCGGGACGGCTTCCGCTACGCCGAGCGGCGGCGGCGGATCGCCGCGTTCAACGAGAAGAACAGGTGGCGCAAGAGGGGCCTGTCCATCATCCCGACCAAGTTCGGCATCTCCTTCACGGCGCTGTGGCTGAACCAGGCGGGTGCGCTGGTGCACATCTACCACGACGGGTCGGTGCTGGTGGCGCACGGCGGCACCGAGATGGGCCAGGGCCTGCACACCAAAATGACCATGATCGCGGCGCAGGCGCTGGGCGTGCCCCTCGACAACGTCTTCATCTCCGAGACGGCGACCAACACGGTGGCCAACGCCTCGGCGACGGCCGCCTCGGCGTCGTCGGACCTCAACGGCTTCGCCGTGTACAACGCGTGCGCACAGCTCAACGAGCGCCTGCGGCCGTACCGCGAGAAGCTGGGCAAGGACGCGTCGATGAAGGACATTGCGCACGCGGCGTACTTTGACCGCGTCAACCTCTCGGCGCAGGGTTTCTACAAGACGCCGGAGATCGGGTACTCGTGGACGGAGAACAAGGGCAAGATGTTCTTCTACTTCACGCAAGGCGTGGCCGCGTCCGAGGTCGAGGTGGACCTGCTGACCGGCTCGTGGACGTGCCTCGAGGCGGACGTGCTGATGGACGTCGGCCAGTCCATCAACCCGGCCATCGACTACGGCCAGATCCAGGGCGCCTTCGTCCAGGGCATGGGCCTCTTCACCATGGAGGAGTCGCTCTGGCTGGGCGCCGGCCCCGCCGCCGGCACCCTCTTCACCCGCGGACCCGGCGCCTACAAGATCCCCGGCTTCCGCGACATCCCGCAAAAGTTCAACGTGGCGCTGCTCAAGGACGTCGAGTGGGCGGAGCTGCGCACCATCCAGCGCAGCCGCGGCGTCGGCGAGCCCCCGCTGTTCCTCGGCAGCGTGGTGTTCTTCGCGATCCGCGACGCGTTGAAAGCGGCGCGGCGCGCGGAGGGCGTGGAAGCGAGAAAGGAAGGGGGCACGGTGGTGGATGAGGATGGGGGTTTGCTGAGGATGGAGAGCCCGGCGACGGCAGAGAGGATACGCCTGGCGTGCGAGGATGCTATCATGAGGAGGGCGAGGGTGGCGCCCAAGGAGGGCGAGAAGAGCTTTTTCGTGTATATTTAGGTTGGGGTTATCCGACGGGGGACATGTGCAGATTGTTTTTTTTTTTTTTTTTTTTTTTTGCATTTACGAATTATGATGAGGGCTGATTTTACCCCGAGTGATCTACGGAGTACCTTGCTGATAAAAAGGTGTAAATTCAGGAGCATCTTCCCCTGCGCAATGTACAATGCATGGCCGGGGTGAACCCCAACCCGCAGGCCAAGAGCAGGCGGTTACATGTAGAATATTCCGCCCCTCATAATCAAGAGCCAAAAATGACAGGTTACGGTAGTGTATTAATTGGGTGAAGTTCTCTGCCTTTTTTCTTCTTCATTTCCGATTTTCTTTTCAAGAGTCCTCGGCCTGCAAGCTTGCTCGCGGAAGCAGCGCCGTCCACCCGCAGTCCGCGATTTTTCTCGATTGCGCGAGGAGCGCGTGTTCCGTGGAACCACAAACCCCCTCATCTTCTGCTTTCCGCGACGATACCACACCCTCCGTATTGTGGTGGAGGGGTCAGGCACAGGGATGAAAGAGGCAGCCTCCAGAATCGATAGGCTGTCGAGGCTTGCCGCCCGCGGCGCGGCCGTCCTCGTGAGGTCAGCCACTGCAATGGGGGTGAACAATATTGGAATAGCTGCCTGCTTCTTTGCGACCGCTTTTGGAACAACATCGCCCAGATGGACGGTCCACGGAATGTTGGTGGTGCGCGGCGCCGCTCAGCTGCGCGCCTTGGCGTCCCTGCATGTCCGAAACGCAACTCCGAATGGAACATGCGGCTGACCATGCATGCTGCTTTTTGTGATGTGAGCACGAAGAAGTGGTATGTGGCTATCACAGGGCGAAAGCCGTCGCTGTCAGGGGGGAAAGAAGTGTATCAAAAGGGGAGAGGGAGGTCTGCCCACGTTATTAAAAGCACTACTTGCCATCGGGACTGTAATCGAAGAGCAGGAGGGGTAGTACTATCGCGATTTTGTGTCAGCCTGCCACGGCAAGGCTGAGTTCTGCCGAGAGCCATGGAGGAAGCACAACTTCTAAACCGCCAACAACACAGGCCCCCTGCATCTGCATCTGCAATGCAGCCAAACTTGCTGTATTGAGCTGAAAGACGATATGCAGCAAGGATCGTCTTCACCTTTCGCGCCGAAACAGAACCAAAAAAAAAAAAAAAAGACTCCGCTTACCTTTTGGTGGAAGGCGTCCTCTCAGAATCTCCAAATAGCTTTCAGCTCATCTCCAGGAACTGCCAAAGAGGGCATGTTCTGGAAATATTCAGTCCTGGCGCACTGTATTGGTAGCAGACGGCACCTGAACATCACGTATGGTGTGTCGTCTCGCCCATGTTCCAGTGTGAAGCCTCAGCGCTTAACTGAACGGACTGAACGGATATGGACGATACTTGGATGAGATATAACTCACAGTTGCCCTCTATCAAGGCGGCCGGGAGCTTGCACTGCCCATCTTAAGTCGTTCTTACCATTCCTGCTATTCCCTGATAGCGCGCACCATGAGACAAGCACAGGTCCTGTCCAAGTTAGCGGCCGTGGTCGTCCTGGCCAGTCCCGCCTTGAGCGCGACGGCCTCCATCACGTCCGTCATCCCCAACCAGGCGCATCAGTGCATCCAGCTATGCGCCTGGAACAACTACCAGGGCAACCTCCCCGTGGCCCTGGGCTGCGCCAACCCGTACGAGAACGAGTGCTACTGCCCTACCGCCACCGAGTCCGTCAGCAAGGCCAGCGTCGCCATCGAGAAGTGTGTCTCGTCGCGCTGCGCCGCCGGCGACCTCACCCGCGACCTGACCTCCCTGCGGAGCATCTACGCCGGGTACTGCAAGGATGCCGGGTACTTGCAAGACGCTGGGGCCCTGGGCTACACGGCAGCCGGGCCGACGGCCAGCAGCAGCGAGGGTGCGTCGTCCTCCTCTAGCGCCCCGACGACGGGGCAGAAGACGGATTCGAGCCAGCCTTCCAAGACGTCGGCTGGTCAGAGTGTCTCCACGACGACGCAAAAGACCACTGTTACGCAGACAAAGGCGAGTGGCGCTGACGGCACGGGCTCCCAAGGTACGTTGCTTCTGCTGGGGTTGACCATGTCAATCCTGCTTCTCTAGGTTTGCCCGCCCATTTTGCGTCTCTTGTTGTGTCGTGGATTTGATGCTAACGGAACGAATTTGGCAACATAGTCGTCGTGCACGAAACAGAGACGGTGATTGTGGATGGCTCGCGCGGTAGCGGCTCGGGACCATCTACTGCCGTCAAAATTGGTGTGGGCGTCGGCGTTCCCGGTGTCGCGTTGCTCGTAATAGCCGGTGTTGGGCTGTTGCTCTGGAGGAAGCGACGGCCTGCTAGGCGCGGGAAGCTGGACGGAGTCGCTATGGAAGAGCGTGGCGGTAGCCGACAAGAACCTGGGCCGGCGGCCAGGGATCAGGGAGCAAGTGATGGTCAGAAGCAGCAGTCGACACGACCCGAGTTGGCGGTAAAGGCGGGCGCGACGGTGCAGAGGATTCATGAAGTGGACGGGAGCCAGCGGTCGGCTTCGTATAGAACGCAAGACACTCATGCAGTAGCTGGAAGTCAGCAGTCTGATTCAGACGCGGGATATAGCGCTCATGAGGTTATGGGGACTCAGAGGTCCAATTTCTATGAGGCAGACTCTGGCTCCTTGACGCGACTTTTTGAAGCGCCGGGAGTGCCGGGAGCGCCGAGTCGGCCGATCAATGAGTTGCCCGCAAGCCATAAGCAGATGAGGCAGGAGACTCTGTCTGGTGCTGGATAGGTAGTATCAAGATGAAGTGCTGCCGCGTGCTGAAGTGGAATAGCCTGGGTGATGCGGATGTACCTAATACGCTGGAAATTGGAATAGCGCAAATGAAACTGACTATAAACAAGCACTAGTTCGAGATTGAAAGGCTTGCGAGGCGTTATGTTCCCTACTCGGGGATGAATTACTCGAGTAATGTACAATCTAGGGTACGGAATCTTGTATGTAGGCAATGTTTGCTCAGCAGGATTATGGGCGACGCTAGTGGCTGGATCGACGACGCAATTGTCGCTCGTTTGCAAGCCCCAGTTGCCGGCGAGCAGTTGCGAATTGGGCGATTGTTGGCAGCTGGTAGGCTGCGCTGCCGGCCCGCCCACCAAAACTACCGAAGCGTCCAATCTTCAGCTGCTCTGTCTTTCTTCCCTCCTTCACTTCCCCACGTTTTTCACGGTCCGGTCGACCTGCGCAATTCAGGACGGTCATATTTTTCAACACTACGCTACTCAATTGAAGCCTGCAACATCCTCAACAATTTTTTTTTTTTACCTTTTCTTCTATCGACTCGTCTGCTGCCACGGTCTCTCGCCGCGCCCTAGACCTGCTGTGTACTACGGACGCACCTGACTCCCATTGCCGAACCGCGGCTTTTGCGCCCCAACGCTCTACTTTGCGCGTTCAAACGCAGCTACGACACCACACCGCAATACTTTCCAGTAGACCACTCGTCGAAAAGCGAGTACAAGCAGCGCAACTCCGATATCGCTATACTTGACCTTACGCGACCGTTTTTACCACCCGCACCCCGAACTAGGCCCCGCCCGTGTGCTCACGACAGCCCGGTCGACCCCAACAAGCTTGACAATCTCGCCTTGCCCACCGATCTATGGGAACTGTCCTCGCGGCGCCGCTTCTAAATCTACACTGCTAATCTTTGACGCGACGAGCGACACGCCGTCCTCCTGAGCTGCCCTCCCAGCGCGCGACTGACCGCGACGCCTCCGTCCTACCCTACCCTATCAAATGGGGTCAGCTTGTACGACATGACGGACCCCAAATCTCTCGATGCCGCCCCCAATGGCAAGGAAAAGGCCAAACTCAAACCCAGCGTGGTCGTCAAGGACGCCGCCAAGGACCAGAATGGCAATGCTGCGCAAAAGACGAGCCCTAAGAAGCGCCGCAAGGTTAATCATGCCTGCGTCTACTGCCGCCGCTCTGTAAGCTCTACCCTCGCGGATTTTCCTTTGTTCGTTTCCGTCTTGCTGACTCCCGGTAGCACATGACTTGCGACCTTGTACGTACTCGACAACCTGTGCCAAGCTTGTCACCCCCGCTCACTAACCAACTATAGGAGCGACCTTGCACAAGATGCATTAAGCGAAATATTGGCCATCTCTGCCATGATCAGCCCCGCGAGAGTGATATTAAGAAGCCAAAGACATCCAAGCAGGGCTCCGTTGACGACTCAGAGGCCGCCTCATCCACGTCTACCGCTATGGGACCGCCGCCGACATTCAACCGGCAGCGTTCCGACTCTGGCTTCGGCAGCGTCCTTGGCCAGGGCAGCAACGGTCTTGGCATGGTCCCCAACCTCGATCTGCAGCCCGGAGCAATTAACCCCACTGGCAACATGAACCAGTGTACGTGGAACCTCTCATACACATTCTGTCTGCTTCGTATTGACATCGCATCTAGTTGCTGGCTTCTCTGATGCCTGGCTTACAGCCCAAAACTTCAACGGCATGAACCAGTACAACCCCAACTACATGGTCGGCGACAATGTCAACGAGTTCAAGCTTCTCAACGACTTTCTTAACAGTAACCTCCTCGATGAGACGGGCATAGCACCCGACGAGACCCAGACCACGACTCCAACTTTTGCCCGCGGCCAATCTGAACTCGCAGCCGGCTTCAATGCCGCGCAGTCGGGCTCCCCAAACCTGACTACCTCCATGCCGCCGCCCCCCCCGGGGAGCGCTGCCTCGGCTAGCACCCCCGGTCGCACACGATCGTCACGAATCGCCGCCGCCGCCGACAAGGACAAGGAGCGGGAGTACTACCTGCAGGCTGCCGACCCCGCTGGTAACGCCATCGGCGAGGAGCGCATGTCGCGCGTGCTCATGGCCAAGTACGATGCGGGGCTCCTCAAACCCTTCAACTACATCAACGGCTATGCGCGGCTCGGAAAGTACCTTGACGGCCATATTGCGGCCTCGTCGAAACAAAAGATCCTCCGCACCATCCACCATTTCAGACCCAAGTTCAGGGAGAAGGCTCAAGGTCTTACGGATCTGCAGCTACTGTACGTCGAGATGTGGTTTGAGCGCCAGCTGATGGACTATGACCGTGTCTTTGCCAGTATGGCAGTGCCAGCCTGCTGCTGGCGCCGAACAGGGGAGATTTTCCGGGGGAATAAAGAAATGGCGGAGCTCATCAATGTGCCTGTTGACCAATTACGCGACGTAAGTTCAATTTTTTCTCTCGATTTGCGCGTTGATATCCCCTGGTCTGGGGCTGATAGATCAAGTTTCACTGATGCAAGATTATAGGGCAAAATCGCATTGCATGAGATTTTGACCGAAGAGTCCATGGTCCGCTACTGGGAAGAATTTGGCACCATTGCCTTCGATCCCTCCCATGACACGCTTCTCACTGCATGCTCCCTCAAAAACCCCAGTGACTCATCAGATCATCCAATTATGAAGTGTTGCTTTTCGTTTACCATTCGTCGCGACGAGCACAAGCTGTAAGTACACAATACCCACAGACTTCAACGCTTGAATGCTGACGCAACCCAAGTCCTGCACTTATCGTGGGAAATTTCTTGCCTCACGACCCGCCCACGCCCGAATAAACACCACTGTGCCCTCCGCCAAAATATGGTGTACCTTGATGTACTTGCTTCGCTGTCGAGTGTGGTCGAGAGCTAGGATCGATGTTGAAGCGCCTCTATGAGTACCTGCAACTGCAAACAAACGAGCCGTCAAACAAGCCGAGTTCTCAATTAACGTTAACCCTCGATTGAGGCGTTGCAGTGAATCCGGCGCGCCTCAAGCTCACTATTTATTCACCTCTCTTCATGCTCTATTTCTCTCTCTTCATTCTCCCTACTCGGTCCCCTTTTCCCCTAAAGAACCCAGTTCCCCAGACGCAATCGAATCCGAATAGCGAGCATCACTATTTGCATTTTCCTCGCTACGATCCTCAACGCCTTTATCTTTCCTACCCGAAAATGAATCCTCTTCCGCTATCATGTTGCGGCGAGACGGATGCAACTGGGTATCTTGGTGTGACACACCACTGTGAATGGAGCTCGTCCGTGGGCCCCGACAATCTGGACCAGTTGACACTGTCGCAGAGGATCCCCGGGCATTGGGCCGTCCCTGTCCCGTTCCAGTGGCGCGGTCATGACGTCCTTCATCTGAACGCCGATATTGGCTCACTGGGCGCTCTCCCCCTTGAAGTCTTGCACCAGATTTTGCACGAGCTGGACATTGCCACCCTCGCGCGCCTGCAGCGCGTCAGCCAGGGCATCAAGCTCGCGGTGGGTAGTCTACCATTGCTTCGGGCCCTCCTCGACTTTGGCGCCGAGATCATTCGCGGCATTGCGGCAACCAAAACGGGCTCGCTCATGGTCTGCCGCGAGCTCTATGCAAAGTTCCGTCAGCCGTTCTGTGACAACTGCCGTCACGTAGGCATGTATCTCTATCTCCTAACCTGCAAACGTGTCTGCTTCGACTGCCTCACCAAGACATATCGGTACCGGCCGCTGCGTCCTATGCAGGCCAACTACCTATACAGCCTCAAACTAGACACTGTCCGCAGCTTCTCCACATTCACCGTCCCAACGTACACGTCATCAACAAATCCGGCTCGCGAGAGCAACATCTTCCACCAGCGACGCCTTATTCCCAACACTACTAGCTGGCGTCTTGTCGACCACTCCGCGGTGCTGGAACACGCTCTACGTGCCTACGGCTCTCTGGATGTGATCAGAATTCGACTCCAGAAGCGAATGGATGCGCCTCCTCGCCGACGCACTTTGTCCGGGCGATCCCGTGCGCGCCCAACAATGCCTGGCGTTGAGACTAGCCTCGCCTGCGCGGTCGCGTTTCCGTGGTTTGATCGTCGCTCAGGCACCAGCGTCAGCGCCTCGGTTCTCTGCGCAGCATGCATGCAGTCGGGCATACCTCTTGCCCAATGCTACTTCACCATGGCACACTTCAACGAGCATGTAAAGGCCATGGGCAAGGTCATCGGTAGAGCCCATGTCCGCCTCGCGTCTTAATTCTGCTGGTTACTACGAATGCAGATGCGGAACCCGAAACTTCTGGCGAGCGTTTACAATTCATCCGTGGTTTGCAAAGGTGTCTTCCTTTTGGTTTTAATATCGAAAGCCGATTGCTGTTATTGGGCATGATCTTGCTTTTCTGCACGGGAATGCGAGGATTGAATGATTTGACGCAAACAGCTAAGCTCAACAGAGAATAAAGGATGTGTTTAACTGCTACCGCCGTGTTCATTCGTAATTCATGATGTGCTTCATTCACTCCATCAACATGCTGGTACATTATCTCAGGTGTTTGCCTCTCCCTTTCCCCAGGGGGCACTTGTGTTTCTACTTGATACATGGCATCCCAACTCAACCCTCGTCCGTACTTTCTTTTCGCTGGTACAAATTCTCAAGTGCCTGCCCCTGCTCTTCCCCGAGAGCCCTTGGCATCGCCGTTTTATAGGCATTATCTCAATCCTCGTTTCCGTGGTCTTTTCTTCTCTAACCCCACCCTCCTTGTTCGCCCCTCCGCACTCCCTCTCCCTACCCCGCCGGTCTTCCTTCTCGCAGACGCATGGCCAACCGGAACGCCCAGCTGGGGGAGGATCCCTGGGACCGCAGCCTCTCCGGCCGACTGCCGCCCGCCTCGTCGACGCGCTTCCGGTGGCGCGACCCGCCGCCGCGAGACGTCCGCCGCGATGTCGGGCCGATGGGCGTGCTGCCGCTCGAGCTGATCCACGCGATCCTGCAGCAGCTCGACCTGGACAGCCTGCGGCGGCTGGAGCGCGTCAGCTGGGGCATGCGCCGCGCCGTGACCGGGCTTCCGCAGCTACGGGCCGTTGCGGAGTGCGCGCGGGATACCCTCCGCGCGATCTGGGCGGCGGACGTCGGGCGCCTCATCATCTGCAGCAAGCTGTACGCGCAGCTGTGCCGGCCGACGTGCTTCCACTGCAGCTTCCGCCCGGGCGAGTACCTGTACCTGCTGGCCTGCCACCGCGTGTGCAGGATGTGCCTGCTGGGGAAGATGCGGTACCGACCGCTGAGGCCCGCGGAGGCGGCCAAGGAGTTCGGGATGACCGCGTCCGAGGTCACTCGGCTGCCGCGGCTGCGCGTGCCCAAGTACTCGCGGAAGGCGCGGGGGATCCGGGCGGGCGCGTGGGCGCGAAGGCCCGTACCCAAGCAGCGCAACACGACCGGCTGGCACCTCGTCGACCGCGAGGCGGCCCTGCGCCACAGCCTCCGCGTGCGGCGCGCGATGAGCGGGATATCAGAGGTCGCCGAGTGGAACGTCCAGCGCCAGGTGCAAGTCAGGGAGCTGCGGGCGAGGCCGGTGCCGGCCAGCGAGATGCCGTCATCGTCGGCGCCGCCACCGCTAAAATCGGAGTACGCGTACTCGGTATCGGCTCTGTTCCCTTGGCTGGACCGCAGCACGCAAAATGTTGGCCGCGCGGTGCTGTGCCGGGCGTGCCGGTTCGGCGGTGCGCCGCGTGCGCAGTGGTATCACTGCATGACGGCACAGGGCAGAAGGGACCATGTTGCTCGCCACGGGCGCATTGTGGATGGCGAGCATGTAGGGACTGCTGTCAATCGGGGAAAGGCGTGATTTGGCTTTGCCTTGGTAGGTGCAAGGCAACGGACCGGGCCCGGGAGGAAGCCGACACGGGAAGTGATTTACATAAAGAGACAGAGAATCACTATTTTGCTCATTTTATTAAGAGAATAATAGCATAACATGCATTACGCAACACAATCATGTCATATGTCATTTGAAAGCTATCATCTCCAATGCAGTCCAACGAAGCTGTAGTTTTGTCACAAATTTGAAGTGTTCCTCGTCTTGTTCGTCTCGGGCAGGCGCGGCCGACTGAAAAACGCACCTGCTTTCAACAACTGCCAACCTCCCTCCGCCAGCTGTGACGATAGAATCACTCGGAAGGATTCGATATTTAAAACAATAAGTACTTCATAAAATATTGAGAGCATGGATTCCAAGGCACCATTCAAGCAATCGCCGCCACCCTCTGTTGTGGCAAACAAGCCAGCAGCGACGCTTCTCCGTAAGTCAGTGCAAGCAAACAGTGGCAATAACTGACCGAACCATGACAGACTTTGCCACTGACCTTGAGTCTTCTGTAAGAAATGGTGGGGAGGTCAACCATTCTGATCTCGAGTACTACACGCTGCGAGCAAACGACCCGAGCCAGTTTCCGGTAGGCACACTGGCCCAAGACACAGCCCATCAGCTAGAAAGTATCGGGCGGCGAATATGGAATACTTTTTTGCGGAAGCAAGGCGGTGTTTTTGATGAAGAGCGGAGTAGGTCAGAGCTTCGGTTCTGCCTACGCGCCAGACTCTTTGGCTACCTGCTTCTTGGGATCGGCTTGGTGCAGCGTCCCGAGGCAAACGCCGCTCAATCCACAGCCTACCTGATACGATTGGGCCTCGCCCTCTCCAAAGTCTGCATAAAGCACTCGGACTTGGGGTCTGCACGAATCGCGCTGCAAAAGATCACAGAGTATCTATCTTGCCGTTCTGGTTGCATCTCGCCGGCAGGTGGCGACAACGCGGTCATTCGCCAATCAGACCATGCCTGCTACTACATCCTGCGCATCGCACTGGTCTGTCCCGTCTTTCTTGGCGTTTTCTACCTTTTACTAACACATGGCAGTCTTGGAAGGACGATCGTCTCGACCTCGCCGAGCACATGTATGCCAAAGCTACGCAGCATACGCCGTACATCGACACCGGTACCCGCATGACACTCGTACACGTCCTCACGCAGATAGGGGAGAGCATCGTCGCAAAATCAAACCCCTTGGACGCCGCCCCATGGTTCCGACGCGCAGCTGCAGAATCCCGTGCCTACAGCGACAATAACCGAGACACACTGGGTACCGAAGCGGATATGCGAACGCATCAACAAACTCAACTAAAGGCGCATTGGGGTCTAGTCCAGTGTCTTGCAGGGCTCAAGTCTCGCGAGCCGCTGCAGGAAGCACTCAGCGTTGTCCAGGCAGCTCAGGCGGAGTTTGGAGAGCGTCGGATAGAGGTGCTGGAGATGCTGGTCGCGGTGCAGACGGCCCAGGGGAACGCCACCGATGCCCTCACTGATCTGTTAGAGGGCTTGCTTTCGTAACACAGGAGTGGCGGCGCCGGTGATCGGGTCGCTGCCACCGAAACTCCCCATGCTGGTCGACGATGGCGCAACCAATTCATGCCTTGTTCAGCTTGGCGGTGGCGAAAAACGGCTCGCATGGTGTTGAAGCTGCTTCTTAGCCCGTATTGAGATCTTGTGAGGCAGGAATCACTGATGCTAAAGTCCCAGCACGATGCAAAGGTCATGTTCGTGGGATTCGACAGGTTACACGAAAAGAGCAAAAAGTCTCCGATCCGGAGCAACAGGGGGGATTATGCGGTTTCATAGCATTGGCTATCTGCGTCCATTAGCATTGCATGCTGATATGAACACTAGTCCTATCTAATTGCGGCTCTTCGGGCGCTTACAGAAGAAACATGTCTTGAATCCGCCTCAAGATGGTGATGTTCACTATACCAGGTTGCCAGGTTGCCAGGTTGCATGAGCCGCCAAGCCATTGGCACGGGTGTTTTTGCCTTCTCTTGGTTTCTCCTGCACGGCATCTTATGCGCTACCCACTTACCGCTCGTTTCCTTATCATCTACCTCTAACTGATGCGCGAAAACAAAACGATGCGATGCACCGTTTTGTCTACGTCCATGCCCGACGGAACCTGCTCCTGGCAGGGAGGCGAGACAGCAATGGCCAATGTCGGGGGCTGCCAATCGGCAATTGCATGCAGATCCAACGCGCTTTCCTCCAAGAGTCTCGAACCACGACGTTTGAGATGAATTAGACCCCTATTCTCCCGACATGCCCGTTCGGGGCTGGTACAGCTGTCTTTCGCCCGACAGCGGCCAGCTGCTTGCGTCTCGCCTCATGATCGGCACTGCGTCTCTTTCTCCGCCACTCTCCCGGGTCCACGACATGACAGTTACGAAGAACAATACAGTCCTTTCATTTATAAGGGACATAGAAAAAAGTCCGCCACAATGTTTTAGCCAAGTCCCGAACAAGTGGCGCTGTGGAGTTAGTTGTGCCTTGTATAGTGGTTCCCAATATGCTTAATACAGAGTCGTGCGGCTCATATTGGACGGAATGTATGGAGGATTGATGACCCCCGGTCTAGATCCGCCCAACATGTAGGGACACCCCCACACAGGTTACTCATCATCTCTTACTTACAGGATTTCGTCTCAAACAGAACGTTGGGCTGAATTCAAGGTCCGCAGGGATCATCGTGCTTCTCAATGCACGTGTAGATCCGTCCCGCGGGAACGGTCTAGACAACATGGACTGAATGCGCTGTATAAGCCGATATCGTCCACCATATCGAGATGAGAACGATCTATAAAGACTCTGCTCTTCCCGCAGAATCAATTAGTCCTTTGTTGTCCAACAAGCCCTTTTCATTCTTTTCATTCATTCCTTTCTCCTCAACCCTTCTTTTACCTTCATTCCTTAAACATGCACGCCAACGTCTTCTCCAAGGCTGCCATCCTGGCGATGGCTGCAGTGGCTTCCACCGCTCCTGTCTCGGCAGGGGAGGGCGACGTTGAAGCCCGCCAGCAGGGCAACTTCGTCAACTTCTTTGACGGTCAGAATGATTTCTTCAAGAAGCAAATCTTCGACGAGCAGCCAGACGACTTCAAGAGGCCGGGGTTCGACCGGCCCCCCAAGAGGCCAGTCTTCGACGGCCCTCCTCAGGACGGGCCCAAGAAGCCGACCCCTGGCGGTCCCAAGGAGAAGCCCGCTCCCGAGGCTCCCAAGGAGAAGCCCGCTCCCGAAGCTCCCAAGGAGAAGCCCGCTCCCGAAGCTCCCAAGCCGAAGCCGGCCCCCGAGGCCCCCAAGGAGAAGCCGGCCCCCGGAGGCGACTTCAAGAAGCAGATCCTTGATGCGCAGAACTGGTACCGCGCGCAGCACTCTGCCCCGCCTCTGGAGTGGGACGACAAGCTGGCCCAGAACGCGCAGGCTTGGGCCTCAAAGTGCTCTGAGAACCCCCGTCACCAGGTATGAACACACAACCCGACATGATACGCACGCGCCCTTTTCTTCATGTGCTAATCGTCCACCGCCAAACCGCAGCCCAGCCAGCCTCACGGTGAGAACATTGCCTGGGGCACCGGCGAGCGTCAGGCTGGTTTCTGGGCCAATCTTTGGGGCAACGAGCGTGTCAAGTACAGCTTCGACGCACCCAGCTTCACTGGCGAAACCGGCCACTTCACGCAGCTCGTGTGGAAGTCTACCACCAAGGTGGGCTGCGCCGAGGCCAAGTGCAACTACGGAACCAACGTCGTCTGCGAGTACGACCCCGCGGGCAACGTGATGGGCGGATCCAACTTCAAGAACAACGTCCTTCCGCAGACCTCGGGCAAGGTCAGCGACCAGTACCCCGTCTAAGGGCTGCGAAGATTGAAAATGGGGAGATGGTTTGAACTCAGGGCTTGCAATCTTTTCTTTCTTTGCTGTATGCACACTGGTTTGCTGTATATAGATTGACACTGAACATGGATCATATTGACATCCGCATACCGACCCGTGTGGCGTGATGTATACAATGATGGGTTCTAAAATCTCGAATTTGTTGTGTTGGATATAATTATCCTGCGCAGTCGAGGTTCAACGTGATAAGATGCGATAGCTGAGTCAGCGGTCATGATGGTTCGACCTTCCAACATCATCAACTTTCCTAGTACCATTGGTCTTCAATCAGCCCATATACGAAGAAGCAGCATCTGCAAAAGCCAATCTCAGAAAGGCGCTGCCTTCTTAACACTATGAACAACCACAACCTTCTCCCTTCGAGCCATCGAGCAGCCCTTGACAAAGCAGTGCCCATGCAGCTGCAAACGCTCATCCCGCGTCCCGATCAAGAAGCCATCTGGGACGCCTTCCACCTCCTCGACTGCGTGCACTTCCACGCGGACCGCCTTGGTCCCGGCGCCGTGCATGCCATCCACACTGTCCGTTTCTTCCAATTCGTACCTTACCCTCACACACTCACTCACATGGGCGCGGCAGGCGCTCTGGCCGTCGATCCAGGCCTGGTACGAGAACAAGTTCTACGCAAAAGTCGTTTCCTGGAGCCAACTCGCCCTGCACCCGGCCCTCGCCGCCCACGAAAAGCAGCACCGGGCCGCCTTCCTGCGTCGCATCCTCGCCGCCCGCATCGAGCTCGGCCAGTACGCCGACGCCCACACCGTCCTCGAGACCCTAAACCACGACGACTCCGACAGCAACGACAATCACCTGGCCACGCAGCTGCTCGCGTTCCGGCTCGCCGTACGATCGTGGGACACGGCGCTCGCGCGGTCCTGCCTGCAGTCCCTGGCCGTCGCCGAGAAGCGGGAGACGGCGCGGGACGCGCTGTACGCGTGCGTGCGGGAGGCGCAAGCCGCGGGCGACCGGCTCTGCGCGGTCGAGGCGCTCTGCGCGGCGGTGGCGACGTGGAAGGGCGAGGTCGTGGTGGCGGGCAACGTGCCGGCGTTGCTGCGCTGCGCGATCCGGTTCCTCCAGCAGATCGACGGCGACGACGATGCGGATTCGAGCGACTTGACGTCCAACGAGACGGTAAGCTTGTTCAGCGCAGGTGCGACTTTGCCTTCCCCCCTCCGTGGCTTTTCGCATGCAGTGATCACTTACATGTTAGAAGCGGCTGCGTTCGTGGCCGACAACGCGCGCGACGACGCCGGCGACGCCGTCTTCCGCGGCGCCGAGCTGCGCTGGTTCGCCGTGCACGCGTACAACATCGGCGTCGCGCGGTGCACGCTTTGGCCGCCCGGCCTCTTGGCGTCCCTGTTCCAGAGCTGCCTCGTCTTCTCCCAGGCGCTCTCCTCCTCCTCCCCGCCCTCCGAAGACGACGCTGACGCGACGCTCATCACGCTCCGGTGCCACTTCGTCCTCGCCTCGCTGTACGTCTCCGAGGCCCGCGCCGGCGGCGGCGGCGGCGGCGAGCACGCGCCCAGCCTGTACGCGGATGCGGAGCGGCACGCGGCGGCCTTTGCCGCGCTCTTCGCGGAGGCGGGGCAGCGCCGCGTCGGCGGTCAGTGTCCGGACCTGCGGCGAAAGCTCGGCGTCTTGTGCTTGTTCCACTGCGAGGCCCTCCTGGCTCGGCAATCGCACGAGCACCTGCCGTGCGTCGTCAAGCAGGCGCGTCTCTGTGGCGACGTGGACGTCTTCAAGGCCCTCGGCAGCTGCGTCATCCAAAGCGAGGCACCGGTGCACGGTGAGCCCACCGCTCTACACGCCTAGATTGATGTGGCTCACGCGAGAGGTTTACTTGCGTGCAGTGAAGAGCAGCATTCTCAAGTCCATCGTCAACGAAATCTTCAACGTCGAAGACTTCAAGAGCCATCATCTCGCACAGTACCTCCGCTGCATGGTGCAGGTCCTCCTCCCCATGGCGGACGACTCGGCGGCGCGGGATCTCCTCGACCAGGCCTTGCAAGTCGCCCAGGAATCAAAACAGGTAAATTGACCAACTCGCCTTTGCCCTCCTAGCCCCTATCTGCCCATCTCCCAACACTCGGCCCCCCTTCCTTTCCCCAGGCGCTTAACCGTCACCCATTAAGGGCGGTCGGGTGCGCGCGGATATATGCTAAATTTAAGCATCTGTGTTAAAATAGGTCGGCGTCGCGTTCCCGGCAGACGAGGCCGAGTGGCTCGCCGCCGCCGCGTTCAACCACGGACTCACCCGTCACGCCGCCGCGGCGGGCGGCGGCGCCGACACGCCCAGTTGCCGTGCTTGGATGGAACGGGCCGCGGCCATGGCCCGGCACGTGGACGACGACGGCCGTTTCGCCGCGTCTCTGCAGCGGCGACGGGAGAGGCTGCTGGGTTTCTCACTCGGAGACACGCTGTAACCGGTCAAAACGCCTCATATTGCACTTGCCATCTTCGACCTGTACTATTTCTTCCTCAATGTTAGTCACACGGCCACGATCAATGAAGAGCAAGTCGCAACTCTAAAAATGTCAACAAATCAGCACAACTCGTCTTCTCGGGATAATTAAAATTCATCAGTGCATGCGGTCGTTAGATTTCGTTTTACAAGCTATGAAAAGAAGAAGAAAAATGAAAGCAGGGCAGGGTCCAATGAATGCCCCATCTATACATCTCATATACGGAGGGCATCGGGAGATCTATTCGCCAAGTCGAGTCCAATCCAAGACAAAGAAAAGGGAGCAAAGAAACAAGAAGCATCACGATAAAAGCAAATCGCTTCATGTGCAAAAAGAGGTCGCCGTCAAACTAAGCACGTGATGCCTGCCACCATGACCCTAAAAGAATCCGAATGCAATAGGGTATATCCATAGTGCTGATGAGTTGTCCGCCAAGTAACCAAACCATGCAGCTCAGCATGCTCATACCAAAGAAAGAGAAAAGACGTGTTCAACCTGTGGGTGTACCATGTCCCGAGGCTGCTAAGAAAAATGTACAATAAAGAGTAAGAGGGAAAGAGAAGAAAAATTGTTACGCGGCCAGTCTGAACAGACACGCGTAAGTGGCGAGACATGTCGAATCCCAGCATTGCTGTTTAGATAATGTTGGCAATGCTCAGACGGTCGTTACCCCTCTTCTGCGTATTCGGGGGCGGGCTGGTGTCGGCGCCGCGGCCATAGTTTGGCTCTGACGTAAATCGAGGCGGTTCCGAGTGCTTGGGAGCTTCCAGTCCACCGGATCTTGGAGACTCGCTCTTGATCTTCGGCGCCGGTACCGGGGTCCATCCTGCATTGTGTGAAGTGAGCGATCTGATGGCGGATTCGAGGTGCGGCCAACCGCCCCATTCGCGCAGTTCAGACGCGGTCAGGCCCGTGCGTTGCTCGGTCTGGAAGATTGAGCCTGGCGGAGCTCCTGGCGCCTTTGGTGAGCTCGTTGCCCCAGGCTCCGATCGCTCCACCATTGTCCAAACCCAGGTCCGTGACGGCGCAGCTTGGGTGTCTGCAGAAACGTAGACGAGCAGCTCCTCGTCTCTGGTAAGTGATAGCAAGAGCGAAGAGTTGTCGGCCTGGATGCGTGACTGGGGTATCGAGGTCGACCCCGTAGTGCGAGCAATGTGGCCGGCGTGTTCCGCGCGTTTGGAAGCAAGAATGTTAGCGAAGAAGGCGAGATACCGCCCACAAGGTGTCACCACATCACGGAGTCCTTCGATGGAGCCTAGTGCCCGTGTGCAGGTGATAGCTTGGTCGAAATGTCCGCCTAGCAGCAAAAACAAGGTGCAGCGAAACAGATGCGTTGCCAGCAGCGCGGTTGCCCCTTCTGCAGGGGCGTTGGTTCGCGCGATGAGAGAGGCAGTCTCCATGGCGATGTGCGTGCAGCTCTCGACGGCAGCGAATCGCGACTCTGTACTACAGCTAGGGGCGAGGTTGTGCCGGTGCAACACGAGTCGAATATGAAGTAAATAGGCCAGAGGTGGGAGAAAGTGCGGGGCCAAAGCAACGGTGCTCGATGGATCGCAGGCCGGCGGGAATGTGTTCAGACACTTGCGAAAGTGGCTATCGAATGCGGACAGATGCGCCGACGGAACCTTGGGACTGTCAATGGCCTTTAGAACGGACGTGTACGAGCGTACGACATGAATGATTGCCAGGAGTGAGTGAGTCAGTGGCTCAGCACCGTTCGGCACATGCATCCCGTTGTCGCGCACATAGTGATCATCGACAGCAGCCGGCAGACGGGCATCACAGTCGGCATCGTTGATCAGGCATGGATGGCCAAGCTCAGTTGCAAGCGTCCTGTCCAGGACATACATCGCCCACCAGGTTCGACAGCGCATTTCGCCTTCAATTATGGGAAAATTCTCGGTGTCGGTGTAAAGGCAGAGGTCCTGGCCGACGCGAATGGCATTCCCCAGCCAATTCCAGGCCGCCGATTTCAGGTTCATCTCATCCAAGCAGATGGCAATGATGATGTATGCGCGGGCGTCATCAAGCGTAAACATGTTGTTCCAAGGATCAATAAGACTCCGGGCAGTATCAAGCAGCGCAGCTACGCGTGTGTTTGTGGTCGGGGGTTCGAGACTGAATAGAGTGCCAGCGGCCAGAACGGCGAAGAACATAGAAAGCCAGCCAGCGGGAGCCGCTCCGCGGGGGTTTCGGTACAAGTCATCCACCATTGCGCGAAAGGTGGGCAGGTGAACGATGGGAAACATGGTGTGAAGCGAGTTGTAGTAGGTGTGCAGAAGCTGGTCTGCCAGGGCCCTTGGCGGAAGCTCGGGGATGGCAGCCTCGGTGGGCGGATTCGACAGGTAGCGGTGCATCTGAGGAGGCTTCCACACGCCTTTAGCCGCGCCACGGAGGTTCGACCTAGCTCTGCCGAGTTCTGGCATGACCGGCCCGCGTCGCTTGGGCCGTTGCTCTGGCTCGATGACGGGCATCTGATAGAGCGACTGGTCGCCATTCTCCCCCTCCATATCCATGGAGACGTCCCGGTCTTGGAGCATGCGGCGCAGCTGGGTGTTGTCGCGCTTGACACGTTCAATTTGTTTTTCGAGGTCCTGAACCTGTTTGATGGATGACATTCGTCGATTCGTTTCCTTGGTAAATTGGCATTTGACGTTGCGACTTGAACACTCTGAGCAGCTGGCTGTTTCGGTAGCGTCGCACTTGACCTTGCGCTCCCGGCAAGCATCGCAGCTAGGGTCTTTTCTTCGTTGACGATATGCTCGCTTCTGCGCCTGGGGGCCGAGGCTGCCGGAGAGTGACATGGCGCTGTGATGGCCCATGGAATCGCTGGAACCAATTGATTCGCGGCCCATCATGCCCGAGGGCACGGGAGAGTAGGGCGGAAAGCCATGGTTGACAGAGGGCAGCGAAGGCATGCCGCCGAGATGCGGAGAGTGCGCAGTCAGCTGGGGTTGGCGGGAGCTGTGACTTAGTACGCCGGTATACTGGGAATGCGGTCGCGGCGAAGTGGCAGACGAGACAGACGAGGAATCGTACGATCGCGTCGAGAGATTCGGGGAGCGCGGGTAGGAGCTGTGAGCCGTCTCAGCCATGGCGGGGAAGGCCGCGGCAGACAGGTTGGACGTCGAGTGGATGCAGAAAGGAAAAGTGAGCTTCAGCTGAAGCGCGCTGCGAGAAGGATGCTAAAGATAGAAAAGCGTTATGCGATCACTGTGGCTTTTGCTGTAAGAGCGCCCGGGTCGGCGGGTGAGGGGAGTTGTGTCGCTAGCCGAGAAGAAAAAGAGCCAGCGCGGGTTACGGCTCGGACGGGGCTGACTGTCGCAGGGCGAGCACAAGGGGATATCAAGCAAAGACAAGTTCTGTGTTGTGCTTGTCTTGCGCCAAAGAACCGGCAAAGTCGTACTACGGAGACACAGAGCAAAAGAAGCGCGAGACGCAGGGGTCGGTCTCACGATGCACAGGTCAGGCCAGGTAGTCGCAGCTGATGGTCCAGCAAGAGTTGTCCCAGAAATAGAGACAAGGCAAGGAAGGTTCAAGATGACGTTGGCGCCGGGGTCGGGGTCGGGGTTCAGCTCCAGCAGGCAGGCAGTCCGACTTGGTGGTGCGTGCTTGAGGTGAATGTGGACGGCAAGCCTCAGGACGGGCTCAGGCGAGAGCTGCAGAGAATCCGAAGCAGAAGGCTTGCACGGCGAGTTGATGGAGGAACAAGGAGACAAAGAAGAATGGTGTGACGGACGATGCAGAGGCAAGCGGTCGGTCGACATTGGCCCCTCCACGTACGTGCAGAGCGAGCGAGCGAGCGAGCTCAGCAGGTAGGTACGTACATACTTACAGACAGACAGACAGACAGACAGACATACATAGGTAGGTAGGTAGGTAGGTAGGTAGACTCGGTACGCTGGCCCGTTTGGCTCACGGAATGCGGGAGCTCCGTGGAAGGTTTCGGGGTGATCGGCTGGGGGCCCTTCTTTGGCTCGTCTAGTTAAAATCGGAAATATTATTATTATCTCAGTGGTCCGTCTGGGCCGGGGAGGGGTGTGCTCTGTGTGGCTTATGACAGAGTCGCGCGCCAGCGGCCACGACACCAGTAGCGTGAGGCCGTACGGATACCTACCCTAGCGAGGCAGGTTTAGGTACCCAGCGGAGGGGAGTCCACGGTCCACGGTCCACGGTCCACGGTAATATTCGGAAAGCGCAACAACGAGAAGACGCGTAGAAGCAGTGTCGCCAAGTCAGTTCCCGCAACAGCGTGCCGGTGTGCGTGTGGAGGTGGCATGTCAGGCCAAGCAACCAAGCAACCAAGCTACCTAATAATTACCGACCGACTCGCCCAGTCCTGCCAGCACTGTTAGCCCTGATTGGCGTGTGAGGCATGAGGCGGACAGCGTAGAGATCAGCTCAAGGCCGCTCACATGTTTCGAGTTTGAGTCGGTGGCTACCAGCCTGCTCCAGTGCTCCCCGGAGAGACACCCACACCCCTGTTCTCGGCTCAATGGCCCTCTTTATTTAGGGTATCTGCTTGTACTGGACGTTACATGGGGAACGGGGGGTGTGCACGCCCTGGGTCGTCGGCAGCAAGCACAAATCATAGGCTAACACAAGTTGCCCCGACATGCCCCAGTGGCAAGTCAGCTTTCGCCGCCACGACTGGCACGTATTTGTACTGTAGCTTTGTGCTGTTCCGCAGTTGATACGTTATCACGTCAGGTCAGGCGCATTGGTGTTGACTCGCAACCCGTTCCTCCTCACAGCACTCAATGCTGGCTTCGCTGGAGATATAGACTCAACGCCGAGACCGGCGCCCCTGTCGGCCTTGGATTCCGGCCCGTTTGGTAGTCCGCGCTGCCAAAAAGGGCGACATGTCTGTACCTGATCCCGTGCCACCAGACAGCTGCTGGTGCATGTCTAGGCAGGCCTTCCCGCCCCTCATGGTAATATAGTAGTGGACCGTTGACGAAACGGAACTCCGCCGAGCATCGTGCTTCGTTTTTGGATACACGTAAGTAGCACGAGCTACAAAATGCAAGACACTGTAATTGCAAATCGAAAGCTCGCCAGCAAGAGTCGTAGAACGGTCGGGCTACCATGAGTCGCTGCTTGCTTGTACCAGAGGCGTCATGCAAGCTGCTGCACAATGGCTGCCCACCACTCAATAAGTCGCGTCTCAACCTGTGTCGCCGAGTAGCTCTCGTTGGCACGAGGCTCGACCCTTTCTGGATAAGATATGCGCGAGCAGAAGCCCCCTGTTGACGGCTGACGGGCTTCAACATACGTAGTACATACAGTAGGTTTCGAAGCTGGCCAGCATCCACGATTGTCTCGTGGCTGTCGATCTGAGCAAGGCCCGCAGCCTGTGTATGGCTGGGTGTAGCATGCGGTGCTCCAACGTATAGTTCTCAAGCTGATGATGCAAATCGAAATAATCCGGCCAGAAGCCGCGGGCTGATGCACATGCTCTTCCGCCAAGATCTGCCCCGCGAAAATGACCTGTACATTTGTGGCAAATCTGCGTCATTGTCTCTCAAACCAAATAGCGTAGTTCGGCGGCTTGATAGCTTATTAAGAGCTAAGATGTCCACGCTTCCACCACCCTTCTTCTTGCCATTTGTCTCTTGGGGAAGCCGGCATCTCCTGGCATCCCATGTACTGCTAAGATGCCATCCAATGCTGCCGAGAGTCTGTAATACCAACGACGGACCAGAAGCAGCATCGAAACGGCGGCCAGACAGAATACCGCCTGATTCTTGCGAGCTGGTCGGTTCAGCAGTGGAAAGCGTGGCTGTTTGTGGCTTGCCCTGGCGTCGTGCCAAGTTGAGCAGGCGTCAGTGCTGGCTTGTACGACCCCGCTGGGCGTTAATAATGATACGGCAGCATCCGGGGGCTGGGTTTTGCTTTCAGTTGCCCATCGCTCCGCCGTGAACCGAGTGAGCCGCCAGCGTCACAGAACAGAGGCTGAAAATCGACACCGCCGGGGTCGCGGTTGAGCAAGGGAGTTGCAGTCATAGACCAGGCCATAGGAACATTGTAAGAATTGTCGCAAATTTTTAGAGCCCTCTGCGTGATTTACTGGATGCTGGAAGTCGATATTAAAGTATACTACGTCCGTTGAAGCTCTGGGCGTGGAAGGTTGGGGGTCATCAAGCCTTCGGCCACAGCTGATATATGAGAAGGAGCCCAACACCTGGCCTTTGGTACAGGTCGCGTATGTAGACGCTCATCTTGGCCAGCAGTGTAGACGTAGCCAGATAATGCACGGTGCAGCAGACACCTGCGTTAGCAGGGAAGCATTTGGCAACACAGGCGATAGATGGCTCTCATGCCAGTTGGATGGAACGCCAGCGATTCGGATGCTCGCCCGGCAGAGCAGGCAGGCAAGGCTCGGTAGGCTCCGTTTGATGGATGCATGCGAGGAGTTAGCGTCAGTCGGGCGGTTGGCGCATGGACGGACACATGGAAGTTGGCAAGTTGGGCGCGTGCGACTCGGACGTCCCACCAAAAGGTCTGATACCCAAAACAACTTGGCACGGAAAGATGGCCAAACAGATGCCAATCCGAACGGGATTGCTAGAGGGCCGGAGAGTTTGTCGCGCTGGTGGCTGGAGATTGAGAGAAGAGTGGGCTGGCGGTATTGGTAGCGTTGTGGTGGTGGCTCTTCGCTGGGCGTGAGTGAGGCTTAAACAGATGGGTCCTCAGGTCTTTGGGCTAAAAGGAAGGACGGATAAGCAACCCGGCCAGCGGCATTCCATCAGGCCAGGCGGAGCCGAGATCAGGCATCTTTCGTCGCTTCGACGGCGATGGCAGTGGAGGCGAAGCATAAAGATAGTCAGGTAGCTCCCACGGGAAGTCTGTATATCCGAATCAGTATCATAGACAGAGTAAGCAAGCCCACTCTAGGCCACACCAGGGAGGGAGGAAATGACAAGTGATAACTGGCGGAGAAGACAGCATCGGAGTAGATGGCAGGCTTGTCGAAATCGGGGCCTTGCCGTAACGGAGATGGAGTTGAGGAGAGTCAAACAAGCAGGTGGAAGGTGTGGGTGAGATGGATGGAGCGGCCTCGAGGGGAAGGGAAGTGAGAGTTGGGCTGATTGGCTGGAGGCGGCCGGCGGCCTCCCGAATGACTGGGGTGCGCAGCGGGGGTACCTGCCTTTGCACATCCTTCAGATACCGAGGCAGGTACCTCTGCGTGCCCACTGCCCATCTTGTCTGTACAGATGGCAGCCAGGCACAGGACTTAAAAGTAAACTTTTGCAGGGTCGCAGCTGGCGGGGTTTCCTGGGAGCGCTGAGGGCCCGGCAACTGCCGCTAATTCCCCTGTTCGAGCAAGGCCTGGAGATGCCCACCCGAGCCCCTGTAACTGCAACGAGGTTCCCCCGCGAGACCCTGTAAATTTTGGCAAGCACCTTCCTGGTCGGGCTTGGAGGTGCGGTGCTTCACGCGCCGTTCCCTGCACTGAGCTGAGAATAGCATCCAACCCCGGGACGTGGTGTCGCAAGCTAGGCCTGGTTTGTATAGAATCGTTTTCTTGAGACCTTTTTTATCTCTAACAGTTTGTCAGCGATGACTGAAGGCCTTGGCCAATTCATACTGTAAACAGGGTGTCACCCGGTACCTGGTGTCGAGTTGTCATGCGGCTTGGCATTCCTTAGTAGGAAGTACGGCGCGAGAAGCCCCGGATTTATTAGTATACAACTACATGCTTCTTCAAGATCGAGGCGCAAGCCAAGGCCGGCCTCGTACTGTCGGGCCTTTGCAAGACTTGGCGAGTCTCTCTACCTACCTAGAGTGCTCTGGTAAATCAGTTTCTTGAGACTCAATCAACTGACGTTGATGGAGACAGAGTTGCTCAAGAGCACGATACCAAAAACATTTAGTGGCCCTCACCCAGACCTTTCAGCACGATTAGCACAACACGACCCTAGTGATTCTAATCGGGCGGGAAACCATCATTGTCTACGGATAATCGGGCGGGAAACTAGCCCTCTGTAAACTCGGATTAGCACCCCCTAAATTAGAACCCAGGCTCCTGTTAGCACTCACTCATGCCTCTCGGTCTTTCTGTCATTAACATTCTCATCCCCCCACGGCAAAT